CCGATTCTGATCTTTTACTAATGTCGCGCTGATCGCGAAGTCGAACACGGTTAGGAAGAGGGTGAGGACCTCTCCTTTTCAAGGACTCACCAACACCGGGGTGGATGCCAAATAAGTCTTGAGGGCTTGGAAGGCCTCTTCACATTTTTCGTCCCACCGAAAGGCTGTTTTTAAAACCTTGAAGAAATGTTGGCACTTATCGTTGGAGCATGATACAAATCGGTTGAGTGTCGTTATCCTCCCGGTCAGGCACTATATTTTTCTTGTGCTGATGGGTGCTTTCATTTCGAGGATGGCCTTTACCTTCTCCGGGTTCTCCTCGATGCCTCGGCTGTTGACTATGACACCCAAGAACTTCCCGGCTGATACCCCAAATTCACACTTCACTGGATTGAACTTCATCATGTACTGTCACATGATTCCGAACGCCTCCCCGAGGTGTCGGACATGCGCCTCTGCTTTAAGTGACCTCACGAGCATGTCGTTAATATATATCTCCATTGTCGAGCTGAGCTTTTCTCGAAACATTCTATTGACCAACCTTTGATAGGTGGCTCCGACGTTCTTTAGTCTAAAAGGCATAACTTGATAGCGGAAGGTCCCTTGCTCGGTAATGAGTGAAGTTTTCTCTTGGTCGTTAGGTTCTATTCTGATCTGGTTATATCTCGAGAAAACGTCCATAAAGCTCAGAAACTCATGGCCAACCGTGGCGTCGACTATTAAGTCCATTCGAGGCAGCGGGAAGCTGTCCTTAGGGCATGCTCGATTTAGATTTGTGAAGTCGACGCAGAGCAGCCATTTACCATTTACCATTTACCTTCTTTACAAGCACAACGTTAGCCACCCAGGTCAAGTAGTCGACCTCCTTGATGGCCTTAGCTTGCAACAGCTTTGCCACATCCTCGTTGATGGCCTTTTGTCGTTCTGGCGTGAAGCTTCTTCTCTTCTATCTCACGGGCTTGTAGTGAGGGTCGATGCTGAGGCGGTGTACGATCCTTGCAAGATCTATTCCTTCCATGTCTTTCTATTTCCATGCGAACGAGTCTACATTCTCTTTTAGAAGTGAAATAATCTTCTCTCTGATTACAGGAAGCAGCATGGAGTCCATGAAGACTATGTGTTCCGGATCCTCGTCCAGTTGCATGGGCTCCAGCTGCTCAGTGGGAGTGGGTCTGGTTTCCAGCTCGTCCCTCATATCTAAGTCTTCTAGTTGGATCGATTCCACCTCCATTTGCTTCATCGATGCCACATAACATTCCCTGGTGAGGCGTTGGTCGCCCTGGACCATGCCGACCCCGTTCTCAGTGGAGAATTTCATCACCAAGTGGTACGCCGAAGGTATTGCCTTAATTGAGTTGAGAGATGGCCTACCCAACAGGATATTGTAGGCCAAAGGCACGTCGACGACAAGGAAGCGTGTAATGGTCGTAACCTGGCAAGGTTGGTCTCCTACTGTCAGGACAAGCTGTATAGCTCCGGTCGACAGGACCTTTTCTCCTTAGAAACCCAAGAGGTGGGTTCTCACGGGTTCGAGCCTGGATCTTTCGATGCTGAGCTGATCGAAGGGCGTCAGGAAGATGATATCTTCCGAGCTTTCGTTGTCCACGAGTACATGATGTACAGTTTTATTTGCAACGATCGCCTTTATGACCAAGGGGTCGTCATGCGGGTGTTGGCATCCTTCGAGATCTGCGTCAAAAAATGATCTCCACGTCTCGGTGGGGTACCTTTGTGACGGCTTGGAACTCGAGGAAATCTCACGACCGAGCTCTCCTGGCGTGCATTTTTCGTGCTGAGATGGATTCTCCGCCTCTTGCGAAACCTCCCGAGATGACTCAAATTTCGCCAAAGGCTTGTTGATGCTGCTGAGGTGCCGCGGCGGCGGCCTGGGCTTCTCGTCCTTGATCGTTCTGGGCTCTTCCTTCCCTTGCCACATACTGGCCTAGGTGGCCTCTTTGTATTAAGTACTCTATCTCCTTTTTAAGTTGGATGCAGTCATTGGTTTCATGGCCTATGTCCTTGTGGAACTCACAGTACTTGGCAGGGTCTTGCCTGCTGGGGTTGGATTTCATCCGAGGTGGCCACCGAATGAACCTTTCGTTTTGGACTTCGTGAAGAACTTGCGCAATGGAAATTATAAGGGGTGGCAGCCGTGCTGGGGCAAACCGTGGCTATAGGTCCTGTGGGGGTGGACCCAGGTGGTCTCAGACGTTGCCTCTCCTCTTCGGAGAGGGCTCTCTTCTTCTCCTAGGCGAATGATCTTGTTTCGGGGATCGATCATGTTTCTCCTCTTTCCTGGGACTACGGTCTCTTCTCTTCTTGCTTTCTTTAGTCGGCATTGGGCCTCCTTTCAAACGGAGGCTTCCTCCCTGTTGATGTACTTCTCGGCTTTCGCCAGTACCTTAGCCATGGTGGCTTGAAGATTCTTCGCTATCGAAAAGAGAAGGTCCTTGGATTGTAGCTCGAGCCCAAACATGAAAGTGGTTAGTGCGAACTTGTCATCCACACTTTCCACCTTTAGGTATTCCTGGTTGAAACGCTGTACATAGCTTCGGAGGGACTCGTTAGGCCCCTGCTTGACGCTCAGAAGATGGTAGGAAGGCTTTCTGTACGTCCTTGCTTCGATGAAATATGATATGAATTGGATGGATAATTCCCTGAAGGAGGAAATTGATGCAAGTTGCAGACGGTTGAACCAAGCTATTGACGACCCTTTAAGGGTGATGGCGAATGCCCGACAGCGTATCGGATCAGGATAACCTTGAAGCTCCATCTGATTTTTGTAAGAGTTCAGGAGGTCGATTGGGTCTTTGGTTCTGTCGAATGCCTCTATCAACGATGTTCGAAACTTCTGGGGAAGGGGGAAATGGAGGACCTTGGGAGTGAATGCCAATTCAGTCTGCTGGACTAGGGTATCCATGGTGTCAGGAGTCATTCCTTTAACCACTTCTTTCATATTACCCAGCTCTCGTTGGAGCTCATGGAGTTTTTGCTCCAAATGATGGTGCATAACATCTGGCGGGTGATAGGGCTTGTCTTCTTAATAGGTGGGTCTGGCCCTACTGTGGGCCTCTTCTTCATCGTGTTCACCTGGGTACCTTCTGCGATGATTTTCTTTGGAGTGGCTTCGCTCGTAGAGCTCGGTGACTCTGTTAAGGGGGGTTTGGCACTCCTGAGGAGGGGCGTCCTGATTGGCCTGGAGTGGAGGAGGTTCTTAATGTGTTGACGGGATATGAGGAAGCCAATGTGTCTGTATCCACTCCATCAGTTCCTGGTTCTGCGTTATTAGTTGAACTGTTGTTCGGTGATAAGCCTCTAGTTTGTTGGGAAGAGGGAGGTTTGCCTCTGGAGGGCGATCCTTGACGTCTCCTTCTGGGACCGAAAAGTTCTCTGGTGGGTTCTGACGGACTTGGGGATTGGTTGGAGCTTTACTCATATTTCGAGTAGAAACCATCAAATAAACAAAAGATTAGAAAGAAAACGATGAAAAACCATTCCCACAGACGGCACCAACTGATGATGTCTCGAAAATTATGGCCCAACCTAGTTGTGGACAGGGAATTGATGAGTTTTATTTAGGTGGTAAGAACTGAGAGATAGCCTAATCAGTAGGAAAAGGCACAAGTGTTAAGTGGTTGACCCCAGTTGGCGGACTGAGGTTACATCCACTGTAATAAAGTCTCTTACTCCTTGAGCTTGTATATTGATTCCTTTATTTGAGGTAAGTAACCCTACAGGCGCTAAGCCATTACAAGAAGTTATATTCTAACCCATACATTCTTTGGTGTTCGAACGCCCCGGAAGGGTTCCCATCGGCTCCTCTTATCTGCTTGTTGATTCTATGGGAACCTTTCGTCCTTACCTTGCAAGTAAAGCCCTGTTAGTCGGCGTTTCTGTATTCACTGTGCCTGGGTCGTTACGCACCACCAATCCCTGCAGGTAGGTGTGACTGTCATAGGTTTCAGAGATGGTCCCCTTGTCTTTTTGGGACACGTGGTGTGGTGGAATATATCTAGGGTTAGGGTTTGACTTCTCCTTCTCTGGCTATCTTTCGGCCAGGGCCGGACCGCCAGTCCTTTTGGGCTTTACTTCTTGATACGGGCTGCCTAGGTATGCTTCCCTTGGGCCAATAGGCGAAGCAAAATACTCTGGGCTCATTGGACTCCATGGCCATAGCGGGCCATAATTAAAATTGTCCCCATCAAGAATTATGGTAAAAAAAAAAATTGAAATCCTTAATAAAATATTAAATTGTTCTCAAACAAGTTTAGTTTGTATCAACGTGAATCGACCACTCACAATACAATTAACATCTAATATAAAAATTTTAATTTGAGAATCTAATTAATTATTAAAGTTAATAGTATTTTTGATCCTTAAATTATATATTTTTTATTAATTTAATTTTTATTACATTAAATTTATCAATTTAATCAATAAGATATTTAATTTGTGTTACTTTGCTTTCTATTAACCGTAATTATTACCAATTGTTATTTCTTTTCCAAGCTATACTATTTTTTCGTAGGCCAGGTCACGTTGACGGACAACCGTGGTCCTACTTATGTGTTCATACTACGTGATCCCGTGTGCGTGTCCGTATCGCATAGCCGTGTTGTATTCGATCAAGTTCAGCATATATGACGCAGCCTCTCTCCTCTTTTGCGGCTTTAATTCTCACCCAAATCATTCTGAACCCAGAACAGCCAACTCGAGTCAGTAGCTTTCCATTTTCAGACAGTGTCATTCTCAAAGTATATCTTCAATGGAACCCTCAAGTCCTTGCTCTGACCCACACCCATTTCAGTCAAATTTCCGCTGGAGTAACACGTCGGTTAAATGCACGCATTCTGATGAAGAAGCTATACTTGCATCAAGCCGGCCGAAGAAGCGTGCTGGTCGGAAGAAGTTTAAGGAGACGAGGCATCCAGTGTACCGGGGAGTTAGGAGAAGGAACTTGAACAAATGGGTCTGTGAGCTCCGTGAACCCAATAAGAAGTCTCGGATATGGCTGGGGACTTACCCTACGGCGGAGATGGCTGCGAGGGCTCATGATGTCGCTGCATTGGCGTTAAGGGGTCAGTCTGCGTGTCTCAATTTCGCCGACTCGGTATGGCGGTTGCCGGTGCCGGCTTCAACGGCTGCGAAGGATATAAGGATGGCGGCTGTCATGGCTGCAGAAGGGTTTAGACCCAAAGACGAGGCTGAGGTTTGTGGAAGTCAAGGAGGTCCAACTCAAAGTTTAGGAACAAATTTCCAATACGATCATCAATATCCATTTCCTACAAGTTGTCCAACAAAGCTAAGGCATGAGACTGTGGAGACATGTGATGAAGTTTCTGGAATCAACAAGATTACAGCGGATACGATGGAGACGATGAATGAGGCTGAGAAAGTGGTATATCTGGATCCGGAGGCATTGTTCGACGTGCATGGATTGCTTGTGGACATGGCAGAAGGGCTCCTACTTTCTCCACCGCCATGCTTAGGTGGTGATTTTGGCTCAGAAGAAGTTGAAGAAGATGCCGAGTTGTCGTTATGGAGTTACTGACGGGCTACTTCCATAGTTATAGTTAATCGAACATTTCAAATTAGACGAGACCTTTACGATCATGTTTAGAGGAGGTTATTATCAATTGATCGCCCTTTTTCCTAATATGAAATGTTCAATTAACTATAACTACAAACGGTTATGATCACATTCAGACAAAATTATTATTTATTGGTGGTCCTCTTCCCCATTTTTGTTGACCATAAAAATCTAGCTAGGACATTTTTCACATGTGTTTCTGCAAATAGGAAGATTTACAAAGAGCAGTTTGCTTTGCTATATATAGCTGTTGCAAAAGCTTTTTTTCTTTTTATTCCACAGATGTTATTTCTTTTGTGTGACAATTATATTCAAGATAGTGGAAAGTTCTTCTAATTCTGTACAGAAATGCATACAAAAGTTATGAAAATTAATTTTATTTAGATCTAATTTAAGGACATAATCAGGAATTTAATCAATTATAATTGTTGGATTAAAAGTGAATTTCATCTATCATTTCAACTCTCAACTAATTTAATAACTCTATTAAATTAGTTCTTTATAACATTGCTCAAAAGTTATAGGGAGTGCATTTGTTTAAACAAAAAAATTATACAAATATATATTGTTAGAGTAAAGCTAACATGAACCTAATTTTCACTACAGTCGTTAAATGAGCAGTAAGTTTGGTTATTGGATGATTCCACTCTTAATCTAACAAGAGAAATGTTATAGGATCTGACCTAATTACGGGGCTTTAATGTAATTATTAAATTAATTATGAGTTTCAATGTTAGATAAAACTCATTACCAATTCAATGATTATATATCATTAAGTCTCCAAATTAGGTTCAAATAGTATTTTTCATCTAATAAAATAAAATTAGGTTTCTAAATTAGGTCTAATACAATTGTAATGAATTGGGTCTAAATAAAATTATGAGTTAACTATGTATTTGACCCTTGACCGATATTATTTGTGATAATTAAGTCCCTAAATTATATTTTGTGCCAATTTTAGCCTCTTAGTTATGTAATTTGACTCAATGTAAATTTTCCATCAAAATTTGCTGTTAACTTTAAGAAAAGGTGTCACGTGTTTGTCACATGAGTTAAAGATAGGTTATAGTTTAGAGGTAATCTGTTGTGCACGTGAGAGTTTTCGTCAAAGTTAATAGCCAATTTAGAAGGAAGGGTCACATTGAGTCAAAATGCATAGTTCGAAGAGTAAATTAACACAAGATATAGTTCAAAATTTAATTTATACAAATTATATAATTTGGGGATTAAATAAAATAGTTAACTCAAAAATTATTAATGAATAATACTACTTGAACTTAATTATTAATATAATTTATTGGCATAATGTACTTGAATTAATAATAAATTTTAATATTAAATAAAATTTACTGTGAATACAATAATAACACTAAAGTGTTTTCAAATTAGATGTTGACCCGGAAAAGAATTAGAAGTACAAATCAATTCTTATTGCTCTTCCTAGGTCCAGTACATAGTCTATTTCTTCTAGGCTAAGTCAAGTAGACCGACACCAGTGATCCTCCGTGTCCGTATCGCATACACGTGTTCTACTCGATCTTAAACTCCTAATGCAGCATATTAAACACAGTCTCTATCTTCTCTTGCTGGCTTCAACTCTCCTGCTTATCCACCAAACTATATACCGCAAAAGTAGTCAAACCGAGTCAAAGTCTACCATTTTCAAACATTTCGGAGCGTTTTAGTGCAGTATTAAAGTGTAAATAATAGAGGTATAATAGATTAAAATTTTTTAATTTAATTTTATATTTTATTTACTTACAAAATACATCTATATATTATATATAATTTTTATTCAAATAATATATATTCTATTCGTATTATTGAACCGATTATAATATTATTTAGGAAGGTAATATTATAATTCAATTCAGTTTAATATTTATATTATAAAATAATTAAAAAAATATATCTTATATTTTTTACGGTTAAGATATTTTGGGATTGTTGATAAGGCTCAAATTTTTCCGCCGCCCATGAATTTAAGGAAGTCTAGACTCCTATCTCTGATCAGGAACCTCTCCCTTTCACATCCGATGTTTCTCTCAGCTGTATCAGACGCCCTAAATCTGTCTCTTCTCTCTCCTCAAACCAGCGGCCCCCTCTCCCAAACCAGCGGCCCTCTCTCTTTGCTCTTTTTTTCTCTCCTCACCTACACCCTCTCTCCTTCTAGCCATGTCATGGACCCACCACCGAGGATCTTCCGAGCATGTACCCCTCGCTCTCTATCTCCGTCGTTCTCCCCCTCTCTGTCTTCGCACGCGCACAACACACAGATACACAACACGCACACATCACACATGTACTTTGTGGTCCCTCTTTCAGTTTTAATCCCATTTCTACGAGTAAACTCGCACAACATTCTTCTTGTTGTTTCTTGTTTCTCCTTGGTTTTTGTCTCATCCAGGACCTATGAACATGGAAAACGATTGGGACGGGTGAAGAGAGAAATGGTCTGTATATCGTTATGCAGAAATCAACCAAGCAGTTTTCTTCTGTATGCTGACTTGTCTTTCCTGATATGTCTTGTTTCTTCGACATAATATGTCTACACCTGATCTAGGATGTTGATTTCGACTTCGATTTTTGCCTAAAGCTAAAATTCCGCTGCTTTCTCTCTCTCCCTACAGCCGCCGCCGTCCCAGGTATGTCTTCCTTCTCTCTATCTCTCCACCTTTTTTTGCTCCTATCACACACACTTGCTCAGACGCACATGAACACACGGTTAATAACTTACCCTGAATACCAATGAGAAAAATAGCAGTTTTATACCATCTAGAAGTTGCTGAAGCTTTAACCAAGAAAACTCCAAGCATTGAAACTCTCGAATTGAGGAACCGAATGGCCAATGGTTAGAATTGAGTTAGAAGCTTTATTGGGTTGGCCTGATGACCTAATTGAGAACAGCCAATTCGGTCACAGTCAGAAGCTTTGCAAATTCTACAGGAGTTTCAATCAACTACCATTGAGAAGGTCAGGCTATACGGCGCTGATCCGGTGATAATAAGAGCATTGGCGAACACAAGCTGCTAGAAGAATATTGTTTGACAGAATATATCTTTGAAATTGAGACAGATTTGCAAATCACGGTGGACATGATAAAGGGAAAAGTTCAAGTTCAACACAACTTATTTGTGGAAAGAAATTTCAAGAATAATAATAGCCCTTCTGTTTGAAATACACCATGTTTCTAGGGAAACAAATAGGGTGGCTGATTTATTGGCAAATAAAAGGGTGATGGAGAAGAGAAGATTTATCCGCATTTTCAGGATATGTCATAACAAGTGAAAGAATTGATCTCGCAAAACAAGTGATGCTCCTATCTCTTTGTGGGTTTGTTGATTGAAATCTATGGGTTTTTTAGTTGTTGTTTCAGTGGTTTTCTCTTTATTATTTATTATTAGTTTTATGGGCTTTTTTTTTAATGTTTGATCTATTTTGTGAGATTGAGATTTTATATGCTTATTATACTTTTTACCAATGTTGTATGAAGTTATTTGCTAATGCATATTTTTATTTTCTATAGGTTTTGTTGATTGAATTCATTACCGATTTTTTAGTTTTCGGATCTTGAAAAGTATACTCTTTCCGGTGAAAGACCACTTCTATCTATTAAGAAGTTTAGTTTTGTGTAAAGTCTTCGTGCTTTAAGGGAGTGTCAGGTTATTGCTTTATCAGAATTTTGATTGGTGATGAAAGATGTGGGACTATGAGTGGCTCACTAAGGGTGAGCTTATACACTCCTGTTAACTTGCAACGAAGGATGTGAGGTTTGGATGAAGTTACCCTGTATTGATGAAAATTAGAATCTTTTTTCGATACTTTAGTGGTGGACGATTCTAAATAGATGAAATTTAGGTAACTCAATATTATAAAGATCTGAATTTCTTAGACACTTTGGTATTAACTATTATCTTATTTTTATGTCTTAGGAGTCATGAGCTCTTCTCTGTTTAGGGTAGATGAACGGCGGTGAAAAGGTTGTAGGAAAAGAGATTATCTTAGGGTTTTTTTTATCATGGGCGAAAAGACTAAGCTGCCTCTTATGAAAACAGGAGATTAACTCCAAAAGTTGGCCCAAATATAAAAAATGGGTCTAGCTTGGCCAATAGAATTAACAGATTTGTTGTTTTATATTTTGCAAATACTTTTTCAAGAATGTATCCCATAATTAAATAAAGATTCTTGATAAATTCTCAATTGGGTATGGTTTCTAAATTCTCACATATATATTTAAGTAGGTTACCTTCAATTAAAAGTCACTAAAAAATGTATAAATTATTACATAATTATTAAAAGATAAATTCATATAACATCGTTTATAATATAAAAAAATGTATAACACAGTCACAAAAGACCTATATTCACATAATGTTAAGAGTTAGAAATACATAAATTTTTTTTTAAGAGAGCTGTGAACGAAAACAAAAAATTCACGCTCCTAATTTTGTTATTGTTACGTAACTCCCGTTTTATTTTGCGTATGTTTTTTCGTTATCGTTATCGTTATCGTTAGGATAACTGTTACCGTTATTCGAAATTATGCGTGGAACATTTGACATCGAAAGACGTGTAGAAGAAGGTAAGAAGATGATACTGAATAGTAGTGTATTGTATATGGATGAGGAAGTAATATTGGACGTGCATGGATGATTGCTTGCGGACATGGCGGAAGGGCTCTTACTTTCTCAACCGCCATGCTTATTAGGTGGCGAGTTGAGCTCGGAAGATGTGGAAGAAGATGCAGAGTTGTCATTGTGGAGTTACTCATTTTTGGTAAATTAACTAGCAAGTAGGCTGCCAACTTAGCAATAACAATTACTTGTTACAATTTTCCTCGGACCTCCGTTCACACCCTTCGTCGGTGATGATGTAAAATAGATTAATGGTCCATTTGGTAGGAGGAGCTTTTTCATATTTTGTGTGTGTGTTTGATAAGAAGGATGGAAAAATGAAAGGAATAAATTTTTTATTATTTTATTTGATATGAAAAAAATCATAGAATATTATTATTTGTGAAATATCAAAAATACCCTTAATAAAATATGAATAATTTATTGAAAAAGATGAGTTCTTTGAAATAAATGGTAATTAAGGATTACATAAAAGTTGTGAGACCCATTATGACCAACTTGTCTGCCACTTCCAGCCCAAAAATGGTGGATTTAAAAATGGTGGGCAAGATGAATTTCTTTTCCCTCCATCTTTCCCCTCTAACCAAACAAAAAAAAATTACTTTTTTCATCCCATTTTCCATCCATCTTATTTTTTCTCGTACCAAGCAGGCCATAAGTTATTTACAGATGAACCTTTAAAGAGTAGAGTCTACATACATCCAATAACTAGCAGCCACGTCAGTTTTATAATTAAAAGTCTGCCAACTATTTTTATTAGACCTCTGTCCATTTAACTTGGGTTATTCATTTTCGATTAGATCTAGTGGATAATTCGAAAGAAAAAAAAAAACAAAGACAACCCAAGAACGCCTCCGCCTGTTCAACCGAGCTGTTCATCTTCTCCGGCAACAACCCACCTCTATCAAAAAGGAAGCCAAGGGCTCGAAGGAGAGAGACAATCAAAGGATAACTCTCTTTCCACAAAATTTATACTTAAAAAAAAATAGTTACTGGAGCTAATTAATTCGAGGCTCAAAACCCTCAAACGAGCCCTAATTGATCGTCTCCTTTGCCTATTTGGCAGCCAAAGCGATCGTCCACGGTGAGAAGGTCAACTTCAGTGGACCAAATTTCCCTCCATACATGTGTGTCATCGGAGAAGACGATTCCCTCCGTGAAACGACGGTGATTAGAGACTTGGATTTTTTTTTTTTAATGGTAATCCTACAAAACTTACCAAAGGTGAATGATGGTTTACTTTAGTTTTAACCCAAGTTACAGAAATCTGATAAAAATAATTTACAAATTTTTAAATGAAACCCTATTTTTTATGGTATGTTTTATAGAAATAATAAAAAGTAGGAGGGATGAAAAAAAAGAAGTGATGCATTTTCAATCTTTTGAAGAAGGAAAGGTGTTTTTCCTCCTCGTTTGATAAGAGGGATGAAAAAATATAAAAAAAAAATATTTTATTGATATGAAAAATATTTTTTAAAAAAATACAACTTTTAAATTATATAAATACCCTTGTGGTTGTATAAAACATAGAATAAAAACATTTTTTTGGGTTCCACCATTGTGTTGGTTTATCTTGGAAAAAAAATGTGGACTCCACCACTTTTATTTTGTTCATTCAAAATAGCGGCTACTTTTAAAGGGTATTATAATAAATTTAATAAGTGTGATCATTTGTCAGCACTGCCCCTTATATTTTCTGCCCAAATGTGGTGGGCGGGCGGGAGATATAACTTTTCTCTCCTATTTCCTTTTCTCTCCATTTTCTATCCCTACCAAACAAATGGAAGTCTCTCTTTTCCCTCCACTTTCCATCCATCTTTTTCTCTCATACCAAACAGACGGTTATTAGGGCTCCTCTATAAATAACTTAATCTCTGGTGTAAAAATACTATAAAACTAAAGCTGGGATGCATAGCAGGACCACTGGGCAAGACTGCCGAGGCAACAATGTGCGGGTGGCTCTTCTGTAGTTGTCTTCATGTCCTCAGGTGCAATTGGAAATCATCATCACTTTTAACACAGACAAAGGACACACGCGTGCACTTATCCCATGCAAAATCAAATGATTCAAAATCCAAAAAGCACCCCTCTCATTTTCAAATTATTATCTTTTTTCCTATTATTTTGAATTTATTTTGTCGTTATCAAACCGTTGGATTCCCCCCCCCCCCCAATCATCCACTCCTCATCTTAAACACCTACTCCTTGTTTTCTCCGCCTTAATTTCCCATTTCCTTAGTTATCGCAGTAAATTAGTCAAAGTCAAAATCCGTTTGTTAACCTAATCCAACTGCTGACAACAAACATTATCCACACATGCTTACCAATCCTCTCAATAACAAACTTATTATAAATTTTTTTATATACATTAGTCATGTAGCTATTTTGTTTTTGTTAGGAATTTGATTTTTGGGTTTGTTTAATTGCAATATTAGTGAAAGAGAGATTGTATTAGATAATGAAGTTAACTTTGAAATATGTGTTTTTATTTTTTAATTAGTTTTGATTAATGAAAATTATAAAATTTAGGTTCAATTTTGACGTTGAATACAAAACTAAATCCTATTTTTGGCTTGGAATAATGAAAAACTTACTTTTAACCCTAATTGTGCAGCCTAATCTCAACTCGAATTCAAAATTTTAATTTGGAGGTAACGCGTGTATTGGAGTTGCTCGAGTTAAACTCACATTAAATGTTGTATATCTTAGATTGCACTTGCGAAACTTATTTTTAATATAAATAATTAATTTTTGATCAAATTAAAGAAAAAATTAGTCAACGTGGATGACCTATTCTAGATCCGAACACATCTTACCAATACAACAAAAAAAAAAAAAAAAAACACAAAACGCCACCCACTGTGGAGCACATTAATAATTTTTTACTTTTGAATTCTCAAAAACTTTTTGTTGTGGAAGGTCAACTACTAGTCACTTTTAGAGTCTAAAACAGCCGAGATTTTCAGTTCTCGTACGTGTGAGTTGTTAGACACACATTAAACTAAACTAAATCAAACTCACCAAATCCAAACAAATAAAATCATTAAAATAACAAAACTTGAGATTCAAAAAACCATAACAAGAAGCATCCAAGCTTCTACCTCTCTGATCTCTCTCCCTCTCTCTCTCTCTCTCTGTTTGTTCCCCCCTCCATTGTCAGTCCTTCCAGAGCTTCTTAATCTTTTTTATCACCTTGAGATCTTCACCTCCGAAGCTACCTCTCACTTTCACCCCCCCCCCCCCCGCCTCCTTAACCCCCTTTAAAACCTCCCTCCCACTCCCTCTCTTTCTTCACTCACATAGTCCCCAGTCCCAGCTTTCTCTCTCCACTAGTAAAGCTGTCATGGTTTTCTGAAATCTTTCAGTCCCTGAACTTTAATTGAAGGCTTGTAAGCTTTTCCTTTGCCTTTTTAAATATACATATACATTCACCATTTGAAATTTAATGCCCTCCCTGAAATTCAGATTCATCCAGCTTTTTCATCACTGCCTCAGCATTTCTGTCTCTGCAATTCTGCATTCTCTCTTTATTGCTCCTGTTTATCTTCCTCCTCCATATCTTTCAAAACCCTATTTTCAACTGTTTTGTTGATATTTTGGGTATTTTTTTTTACCAATGGCTGCCTTCAGTTCTTTCGCTGATTCGAATCTTAAAAAACCATTACCCAAACCACTGATGCTCAAAGATTATCTTCTCGATGATCTGAGCTCCTGTTCATCCAACGGTTTCCGTTCATATCCAAGAAGACAATGTTGCACAACCATTCAATTTCTCCTCGAAATCGATCTCAAGGACAAGCCATCACCCCACAAAAAGAAATCTCTCCCCAAAAGCCGTTCGAAATCCACGCCGTCGAATACAATATCGGCGTTTCAAAGAGCCTCCGAGGTGGTGATTAACGCCGTTAAATTTCTTCCTTTCACCGCCGTTAATTCTTCGTCAAAGGATAAGAAACTTACGAAATCGATTTTGCCAAGAAGTCTCTCTAAGAAGCTGTTGAGACGTAGCTTCTGGAAGAAAACTGGTCACAAAGACATTGAACGATGGAAATCGTTCCGTGAATTAATCGAAGAAGAAAAATCAAAGCCGTTGGATTTCTCTCCCTCCGTCAGTACCACCACCACCGACATAACCAGTTCAACCACCGTGAGCAACCGTGACAGCTGGTCAGATAGTGAATTTACTTCTTCGGAGAATAATTTGGAGGGTAATTCTGAGATTGCGTTGTGTGAGAATGACGTCGTCGTGTTGGAGGGTAAGAGGAGTTCACCGGCGGAGAAGGAGGAGGTCAACGACAGAGTGGGCGTAGCTGTCGGTGAGGATTCCATGGAAGCATCTAGCACTACTACCAACTCTTCTGTTAGAAGCACCAAGGTGAGAGTTTTTTATTTGGTGCTTCGCGGCTACAGATTTTATGTTACTTTTGTCTATTGCTGAGTGTCCCTGACTCTCTGATCAACTGTTTTAACAATGTGATGGGAGAACTTAATAATATAATTTTTTTTAAAAAAAAAAACTCTATCCTGCATTGCCAATAATTTTTTTTTTTTTTTTATGAATTCCACGTGTGGGGTATATCTTGGGGAAATGTAAGTTACGTCTCGGGACTATGAAATTAAGTATCGGGGGGTGTCCCAACGCCACTGATCCCGCTATGCGTTGTCTATTTGCCGGATCAACGGCGTTGAAACTCGCAAGGGCATTTAGTACCATAGTACACGAGATGCTAGATCACTTCTCTTATTTTGAACCTTCTCTGTACTGTAGGTTACCCAAAACGTCTTATTCATTTCCTAAGTTGTTATAAGTACAAAAAGAATTGGTAAAAACCCAAGAGTTTGGTCTAATAAATAAAAATTAAAATTTTCTGGTTAAATACTTAAATTCGACTCTCTTCTGTAGGTTACCCAAAAAATCCTTGTTCATTTCCTAAATTGTTACAAGTGCACAAAGAATTGGTAAAATTGGAGTTTTCATAATTACAGCAATCGTGTGTAACTAAAAAAAAAAAAGTTACTTGAGCTGAGTTAACCCTTTAATTTGCACCAGTAGCTGACCTAAATTTAGTATATGAATGTTAATGGCATTCCTCTGTGTTTACTACGATTGTGCTCCCTCTCTCTTGATCAATTTAGTATATGAATGTTAATGGCATTCTATAATGCTGTTAGTTGCAGTTCAGACTAATGGCTGATGTTGATCTGATTATAAATGTGTTTTATGTGTTTTGGCTTTTCTGACTTCTGTAAACTGGATGAACCATTACAGAATGAGTGGCCAAGTGAAGGGAAGGAACAATTTAGCCCGGTGTCTGTACTAGATTGCCCATTTGATGATGAAGATGAGGTTTCCTCACCTTTTCAACAGAGCCTTGCCCGTATGGAAGGTCTCTCTCTCTCTCTCTCTCTCTCTCTCTCTCGTAGTTACCATAAAAAAAGTCCCAAAAAAGTATTTTTTGCAATGAAGTTTACTTAATTCATTCTTCATTGGTGAAACTGCATTCTTTTTCTTCTTCTTATTCTTGAATAATAAAATGGACTTACCTTGCAAGTCTAGGGTAAATTGCAATGAATTGTTCTAAATTAAAACTGACCCTAATTTAAGTCAACTTCTTTGAGAATTCTACTAGCATAGTAGATTGTTGGCTTTTCTAAACCATTTTGATCATCATGTGCTAGCACTATTCTGATAGCATTAACATTGAAAGCAAGATATAGCTTAAGTTCCTTACCTACTACTGGAATTATTATCATCTCATGGCTATTGAGAACAAATCAAATCAGGTCGTTTTATTTCTCAATCTTTTTGACTTGCTCTTGGTCACGGTTACCCCTTAACTTCTGAAGAAACTGATTGACTTAGCTTCTGAAGAACCTGATCGAAATCCAAGACTTGAAAATAGTCCATTTGGTCCTAAAATGAAAGAGATAAAAGAGTTAGTCATGTTATTTATAATGTTTATTGCTTCTACCTTAAGTGGTGAAGACATTGAATTATGTTTGTAATAATGCAACCAATGTCCATCTTCCTACTCCCACTCACAAGCAAATGTGTTATTTGATGCACAGGAACTAAAAAAAAGCTTATGCAGAAGATTCGAAGGTTTGAGAGTTTGGCTCACCTTGAACCAGTGGACCTACAAAAACGAATCACATTGCTAGAGTCCGACCATGAATCACTTGAATCCCCTCCGCAGCCTTCTTCTACATCTATGCAAGACTATATTCTGACAGACCAAGAAGAGGAGGATAAAATTGAAGAAAGAACTTTCGAGTTACTTCATCTAATCAAAGCAGCAATACCATCAAACTCGAAACTTATGGCTGATGATCTCTTGCTAGATCTTGTCAAAGAGAGAATTGTCAAAGGGTTAACAAACACCCTTGTCCTAACCAAAGCCAACACATTTGACTCTGAGCTGTTAGATGAAGTGAAAAATTGGATGAATGACCAACACCGCGAATTGTTGTTGGAATGGGAAGTGCCAGAGAACAGACAGGCGTATCTGAGAGATATGGAAAAGGGTGGAACATGGACAAAGCTAGATGAAGAAAAACAAGAGGTGGCTCTAGAGTTGGAGTTTGATGTTTTTGCTTCTTTGGTGGATGAGGTGTTTGCTGATTTTTACCTACTCTAGATGAAAGTTTGAAGTTTTGAAATTATGGAGGCTAATGTGGAGCAATAGGATGATATTTGAAACAAACCCAGTGTTGTTTTGGTAGAATGGCTAATGCCAACTTGAGGCAAGGGCTAGATAATATAGGTAGTACAAAGAGGGAATTGGCCCAAAAATTAGATACGGGTCAAGATGTTGTTGGTCGCAGGTGGCTGACTCCAGTGTGCCCCCCCTCTGTTTTTTTTTTTACCTCCTTTTTTCTTTTCCTAGGTGAAAGATGGTTAAATTAATAGATTTTGGAGGTAAGTATGGTTATTCCTCTTTTTTTTTTTCCCTCTAGCACTAGCCATTCAACTTCTAGCAAGATTGTATTAGGTCTAATTTAATAAGCATTGCCATGATTTAATGAATCTTTAAATCTTATTCTTTTATTTGTTTTTCTAAAGGGCCGTATATAGTCACTCGACCTAACTACATATTATATTCTTCCTATTCAAGCAGTGTGACATCAAAAAACACTCGTATCACCCTTTTCATAGGGTTTATTGAACTATTAAGTGAATGTGCTTTCGAGTGTTCATAGTAATGCTACGTAATAGAACAATTTTACTATTACAAGTAAAGATCATTATTATTGCAGACAACGATACAAAAAATTTTATTTTATTACAGGGTGTTCACGCTAGAGTTGAATACTCCCTCGAATATAGTGGCTAACCATCGTTGGGTTAGAGCATACCCTTTGTTTGGATAGTAGGGTTGGAGTGAATTGAATATCTAAAAAGATATCATTTTCTATTTAATCAAAACTCACTCAGCTATCATCTAGATATGATATAAATTAGTATATTAAGTCATTTCCCCTGTTTAAATAGATTATACATTTTTGTAAGACCCATAGATAAGAGGAATGTAATTTGCCCTCATCGACTATTTTACCCTTATTTTATCTAATCCACCGTCATGTTTGGTTTATAAATTAGCCTCCAACCTATTTCAAGTAAAAAAAAATACACTTTCACATCTAGCTTTTTAACAAGTTCATGCATAATAAAAAATAAAAATTCCTTCCTTTAGCCTTTACCTAACCAACAAGACACAATAATGGCAACAGTGAACGAAGAAGACAAGGAGCAACAACGACAATGAGCAAGGGGTGAGCATATCCATGAATTGCATTACATATCCTGGCTGATAAAAAAAAATATCTTAGTCCCCTTTCGGTTTTCATTTAACCTATGTAGGTGGGTTAAAATTGACTTTTTAAACTGGATTGAGATAAAATCTGAATAAAATTTCATATGCATTTTTTATTTATCAAATATATAGACCTTACATGCTTTTTTATTCTATCTTACCATTAAGGGTGTTCACCCTACCCTACAGGTAGGAAATATAGTTTTTCATCTTCCTATCCAATACTTTATAAAATAATATTTTTTTTGCCCTACCATACTAGATCAAGTGTAGTATTCCTAATCGACTTCTATCTAAATTAATTAAGTAGGAAGTTGGGTGAACACGTTTTGCAGTTATTAATTTTTGGATTGTTTTAACAATTCAATTAACTAATCTGCACCAATTTTACAACACAATAAACAATTAACATTAAAACCTAAAACAATTACAATAAAACATAAGAGTATAACTCTGCCGCATTATGGTTCATACATGCATCGATACACAATAATATTGACATGGACACTGCAATTTTTAGTTAAATACTTCCTAAGTCTAGATCACAACCCTAATCAACCACCAAATTACTAGGTCACCATAGGAAGCTTTCTTGCTAGAAAACAACCACCATTGGTCCACAATGAAAGAGTTTTTGGTCTGAGACTAGTAGCGGGGGGATTATAATAAAACCATCGACGGACCTGTGAGGCTGGGACCATCGATTTGATGGCATCAAATTGCACCCAAACAATCAATTGAGAGAGTGAGAATACTTGGGAGGCCGAAACTCAAACAGAGGCTAGAAAACACTTAGAGCAGAGAAGCGAGGACGAGCTACTAAGTAGGTAAGAGAGGTGAGATGGCGACTTGGCGAGGCTGGAGGTGAGGGAGGCAAGAGGGGCGAGACAAGTAGAGAGGCATTAGGGAATTAGGGTAGGAATATGAAAATTTGATGGGTATTTGGTATTTGTACTCGATTTAATCAGAAAGACCAAAAAAATTTTCACATTTTTACTTGATTGTTTTGGATAATCGATTAATAGGATAGGATAAGATCGGGTAGGATAGAAAATTATGGGTGATCGAAAATTTGAATACATCTACTTACCATAATTATCCATCTTTAACTCACAATCCAAACATATTCTAAATGAACAAGAGTAATTAGCTTTTAAGGACTGTAGAAAGAAATTAAATCAGCTGAGTTATCAAACTAATGGACTATCCCTAAAGTAGATGAGATGAAAGTTTGACCCCAACCTAACCATAGCAAACCCGTTGAATGGCCCGAATATGATAGCGGGACCCATGCTCTGTGGGCATGAGGACTGTAACACTAACAGTAGCACGTGACCCATGTGCAAAATGCCGTTGATGATAACAGGTCCATCCTCGTCAGCCCTAATCAAGCCAATCCAACGACTTACATTAAAAGTCACTTCTCCACCATAACTCAACGGCTAGGATATCCACTTTCCATCAAATTTTAGTGCAGACTATCGTCGTCGTCAAGAGCCAAAAAAGCCCCAAATCTGAAGAACCCTAATTCGAAAAAGCTCTCGCTTTTTAATCTCTCGAATCAATCAGTTCAATCACTAACATGAAAGGAACGAAACGTTTTGCCGCATCGGGTTCGAATTCGGACTACCCTGTTGTAAGTTTTAAATCTTTATGTCTTAGAAAAAGTGTAACTGTACTTTGATTAGAAGTGTCATGTGCTACAATTTACAGAAACCCTATATGATGCAGTTTCAGAGTAAAAGAATAGTGGTAGGATCTGCATTCGATGGTCAGAGGGCTGAACCATTAATGGAGATTGCATCTCCGCCGTTGCACAAGGAAAGAGCCGAGTCATCTAGGCAGCATGTGAGAGCTCTCAATACCCAATTTGCAAGGTCTATTTTACTTACCTCTATCTGAAAGTTTTTTTTTTGGTCAAATCTAAAAGTTCATTCTGGGTTCTTTAACTTAATGACTTTTAGTTTGATTTCGGTATCAATTCCAAGAAATAGGGATTTCCAAGATTGTTTATTTTGTGTGAAATACCTGATTTGTAGCTTAACAATGAGTGTTTGTTTTTACACAGTTGGGTCCAAACACAATTACGGGATAATCCAGATGAACTGTGGGAAGATGGAGTTCAAGACTACCTTTCGCACGCTTCCAATATTATGGTAATTTGCAGCATCTCTTGGTCATGAACAGTTATCAAGTCTGCTATTGTTACATACTGAAAACTTTCCAGTTTGCTGGTTGAGACAAAGAAGTGATTTTCTCCAAATTTATATATGGCATTCAATTGTTCTTCTTATTGTGTTGGGATGTTGAACCGAACTCTACCCTTACTTTGGTTTGGATATTGAAGTATGCCCGACCTTTGATTTTTTGGGTTTTTGTTCCTTCAATTTGAAGGTTTTGCTGCCCTGATAGAAACTGTATTGCGATAGAAGTGCCATGATTTGCCTTCCACAATGTTAAATTAGCCCCTTGATGTTCAATTACAACTGAAGTCGCAACTTGTATGTGGGAAAGTTGAAACCTCATGAGTAGAAGTGTTTCTTGGCTTCGTATAATAGATACTTTCTATTTATCTTCTGGTGTAGGAAAAATTTAGTGATGTCGTCAATTGGCTTAAAGCAAATGCTACAAAAGGGGAGAGTCTGCCAGCACTAGTTTCTCAACCTGCTCAAAATAAATTGGTGTCCGAGATTAAGGGTAACGAGATAAAATCTTTCCCAGAAAATACTGGGATTGTTTCAGCTGCTACAACTGCAAGCTTTGCACCTTCATGGAGCTCTGGAGTTCTCTTTACCACTGAAGCAGCACAAGCCTCCTTTTCTTTTGGTAGGTATTATTTTCCATAAAGTTAAGGACATTTCAATAAAGTCCAAGCACGAATTCCGGTTGTAGAATTTGCGTATGAATAACCTCAATATGTCATCTTAAAACTTAAGGTAGAAAATTGAATGAACTAGTTAGTAGCAACTTGAATCTGTTTTAATGGTTGGCATATGCTGTACACATGATAGTAGGAACGCTTGCTGTTCATACATTTTCCACTTGCCTCATGACCCATTAAGATGATACCTCGTGAATCTCGCATATCTGATAGCCTTGTGTTGGCAGTGCATGGGCTCATGGCATACTGCTTGTGATCAACCTTTATTTTGAGAATTGGAAATGAAACTTTTGTTGATATGTGTAATTATCTTAACCAACTTTCTATTGGTTCTACAAAGAGACTGTACTATTTTTCTGCTTGTTTGAAATTGATATGATATCTGGTGGCATACTGCTTTTTTATTTTTGTTTCAGGAAGCCAAAGTTCAGTTCCACTAAATCAGAATGCTTCAAGTGATGTGGATGGTGGTGAGACATGGAACCTTTCTTATTGGACATTGATTTTTGTAAAATCCATATTAAATGTGCACCCAATTGAACTTAATATTTGTTGTGCTTATGTTGTGTAAACTAGTTTATCTAGTTTTTTTTTTTTTTAAAACTTCAGTTCAAGAAAAAAAGTTTTTTTTGGGTGGGGAGGGCGTTTCTGTCGGTGGTTGTAAGTTTGTGAAAATGTATGTTTTGATTTTTAGCTTTAATCTGTTTTATCAATAAATGGGTTGTTAACCTATGTTTTATTTCCATTCCATGTGATGGAAGGTCTTGTGTGTTCAATGTCAGACTTAAAATTGTCAGGTATATGGGTAGTCGGGTACAAAAGTATTATTGGATGATTACAGGGGATGGGGTTCCATCCTGCATTTATGTGACAATGGTTTTTCGTTTGTGTAGTTGAACAACGCATGGTGGAACATGTAACCTTTATTATCAAAAGTACCTTGTTGGACTGAGTACCCATTGAATAACCATTGAATGACGTCAAGGTGCAAAGTTGTTGTATTCGTGATCTACTATTTGTGCATTGTGGTACAACTACGTCAGCTATATGTGGTTACTTAACCTAGACGTCTTAGGAGTTGGCTGTTTTCACCCTTCATTTAACCTTGTTATTGTCTCAGTGACAACTTAGGTTGTATAACTTGGTCAAGACTCAAGACTTCTGGCCTGAATGTCGTTCTTCACTAAACACATTTTTGAAAATTTGTCTTATAGGAGGATAGAGGTTTGTAAGATAAATGAAGGAACTTAGCTATATGTCAACCAAGTTCAATCATGTGAGAATATTAAAAGGTTTGCCTTGTGGCTGTGTTACAAACATCATATATTTATTATATTTGTAGAACTTTAAAAGCTTAATTTCTATGGGGAAAACTTTATTTTTTAATTTGTTTTGTATGACAACATGGTATGCCTGTTTATGGGATAACAGAAGGTGACGTGGAACAGCCTAGCAGCCCATCCGTGAAAAAGACTGAAGAGAAGGGTGTAATTGTTGTACACGAAGTCAAATGCAAGCTTTATGTGAAGGTAATTTCTTTGTGAGAACTTGCAATATTATTCCAGGAAGGCATTTATTGTGTATATACTTCCTGTAAGGCAGTTCTGGAACTGAAATGTAGATATCAAGGTCTCAAGGCAGAATACTTGGAATATCATGCTACTGTGTCAGTGCATGTATATGTACTTGCAACCACCATGCATGCATAATACACCCCCAATCAGATGTAGATGCAATACACCAACACACAGAAAGAAACATGTGCATAAATGCTCTATATTCTTAATTCTTGTCATGGTCGTTTTCTGTGTTACCTAAATGTTGGCCATTTTAGACCACCCCTTGATATTGAAACAGTGGTATTAAGCTTAATTCATGCACCAATTTATTAAAACAGTTTTTTGTGAGACTATGATGTGCCCCAATGATGTCGTACAAGCCAATTAGATCAATGACAACTAGTTATTTTTTGGGCTGGGGAAGATCAAGGGGTGGGGGATCGGTTGCGCAAACCTGCTCTAGGGAAGCATGCATGCATAAGCTTGACCAGACAAACCTGCCTGTACACTTGTGCCCTAGGGCAGCATGCATGCATAAGCTTGACCATATGTCAGTGAAACAATTTCTGACCATCGGCTTTATATATAGCTCGGCTGTTCCATCTAATGATGAAACATATGAAACTGTTTTTAATTTCATAACCCTACCACAGCAAGCTATTGATATAACACTACATGCTTGGATTATATTCTTTGGGCTGAGCTTTTCTTTTGCTTATGTCCAGTCAAGTGATCCTGCAGATAAAGATACGTGGAAAGATAAAGGTGCTGGTCAGCTTTCCATTAAATGTAAAGAGGGTGTCAGCAAGGGTACCAGAGAATCCAAACCAACGATTGTTGTTCGAAATGATGTAAGTTTCATCCTAATGTTATTTGTTATGTCGGGTGAATTTAGCTTCAACAAACACCATTAATTCATGTTTTGCTTCTTAATTTTTTATTCTACGGCATCAATTCATTTTCGGTTTTGTTTTGATGTTTTTTCGAAAAGCATAGCTTTTTTTGTTCCAAATTACCCTTTTTTCTTTGTTTCCTATGATTTGAGAATCATTTTTGGGTGATGTTGGTTTTTACTTGTGTGTTTCTCAATTCAACTTTCTATGCATTATTGGTGACTCAATAATATACTGGCATAGTAGTTGGATTTTCTGTTTTGGCATAGTTTTTTTGGGGAAATCTGGATCCAATTTTTTGGTATGGTTTTATTTTGGATAGAGTGATTAAAATTGTGGTAAAAACCTAACATTTCATTTGGTAACTGCCATGATGCCTATAGGCTTTAAGGAATGGACAACCCCAACCTTTTTAAAGGATGCTGGGAAAACCATTGTTGTTTTTCTCCCTCCTTTTTTTTGGTAATTTTTTATTTTGTGTTACACTGGTGCTTGTGCATATACAATACACACATACAGAGGGAGCTTATGTGGATATTTAAGCCATGAGGTTTACTTCCGTGCATCGACTATACGAGCAATTCATTTTTAATCATAAATTTTCTTTTATGCACTTTCACTTTTGGCAGGTGGGAAAAGTGTTGCTCAATGCGTTATTATATCCAGGCATCAAGACAAATGTGCAGAAAAATTCCATTGTTGCAATATTCCATACCTCGGTAATACATCGGTTAAAAAACACTTACTGGCTTTTCGTTTGTTTAACCAATTATGCAACCCCTGTTCTACAAGTGAAACATATAACTATCACTAAATTGTGGGTAGCTTTCATCTTAGTTGCAAAATAAAGAAATAGAATAATGTGATGATACACAATGTTGGAGCATGTTATGTTGATTTCATGGTTTCTGGTTCCTCCGTTAATTCGAACTATTTAGTTGGTGTTTAAGCTCCAAGTAGGCAATCTTATTTCATGTACATGAGGATGGTATTCAAACTAGTTACCGCGCCTATTTTTGTTGGAATTATTCTTAGTTGGTGATTTCCATGTCTGGGGTTCCACATATCCAGTTTATGCCATTTGAAGGCATGGATTCAACATTGGAATAATTGTTTGTATAAACTGATTTTTTTAGGGTGATGGAGGAAACAATGATGCTGTCGTTGCCCGGACCTTCTTGATGAGGACAAAGAGTGAGGAGGATAGGAATAAACTGGCAGCAGCAATTCAGGAATACGCTCCTGCAACTTGAAAATACTCAGAAAGCGGCGATCTCATATTACTCCTTCCTTGAGCCCCATCACCTTATGATCCATCAACTGCTGTAAGTGGTTGGATGGAACCATCCATTTTCTGCAAAAACCAATCTTAAAGAACATATAGAGGGTGGTTTATTTGCAACTGAACCAGCCATTTTTCGGGCCCAAATAATCTTGGGGTGGGATGGATATCCTCCATAGGTTGAGGAAATTCTCACGTATAAAAGGGCTAATGTACGTGTATGATACAGAGAAAAGTGAAAGTGAAAGTTTGATTATCCACCATGGTCCTACACTCTATTTTTATTGTTTTGTCAGGCTTGCGCCGACTATTCTCTCAAATTCAGCGATTGATGACTGTGGTTTAAGCTAGGTTACGTTGTAACTCTCATTATAAAATGTGGCATTATTTCACATGTTTTATGATCTTCCCCCTCTTTCCAATGTTTGTCAGGTACATTTGTATATCCAGTGTCTGAGCTGAGTGACACGAATTCAAGAAAGTTTGGTTGTGGTGGTTTGTGTCATCCTTTCCTTAGAGTAGATTATGTCCATCGCTGTGCCTAAGATTTCATCTGTTTTATGATCTTCCCCCTCTATCAGTCAAGGTGGTTAAATGAAACAATTTAATTTTCGCATGTATGCTTTGGAGGTCATGTATTATGGGGAGTAAATATTCAATAGAACAGTGATACTAAGTCATCCCTATCGTTTAATAAGTAAATATTCAATTAAAAAGCCCTTCAAGTTTTTAACATCTCTACTTTACGAGTAAATATTGAATACAACGGTAATACTATACTAGTAATATTGATGTGGTATCATCAATCAATAATAGAACACGAAGTGAGTAAGGTGAACATTACTTGGATAGTTATTCATTTACATAGAGGGTTGATTGTTAATATTTGTGGGGTCTATTTGCTTAGGTGTTTTAATACTATTTGTAGGTGATATTATGTTGACATTGTCACGTATGATCATCGTTGTAATGAATATTTTCTTCTACTTTACCCATCTATTAGCAACAATGCCAACCAGCCTTGCATGTGAAATAAATAATTAAGCATGCTTAAAATATCTTATAGTGCATGATAGATCATATAATAACTACACGGTGTAAGTCAAATGCAAGATTAAGACCTTAATACGCAACTGATTGTTAAAACCCGAGTTTTTTTCATTACAAAATGAAAAATAAAAAGAACTATATTGAAAAGTCTATTCATAATAGTGACAAAAATCTCCATAATTGTTGTGGTACTATGCATTTGCTAAAGTGACATCCCACCAAATATCATGAAAATAATGGATATGCATGATTGGAGAACTGATTCAATTTCGATATATTTGGACCACACATCATTATTTTGGTGGTCTCGATCAATTATTATGGACAACAATCGATAAAAAAGATTCGTTCTCTTATTTTTTATAATAATAAGATTTGACTTGGTTTCATTTTGTCTATCAATTTTTTTTATTTTTTTTTAAACTACCATGTCACCCACGTTGAAATATAGGAGTGCAGTCCAAAGGAGAGGGTCTTATCCTATGTAGTTGAGAAAGAAAAGCAAAAAAAGTAAAGAAGTGAAGGATTGTATTGTTTCAATTTGGATCAAACTTGAATTGAGTAAGGTTTGATACTAACAAATTGGCTAGTCAAGCTCCTAATGACTTGTAATGTTTACAAATCACAAGCCCTAATGGCCCACTATCACACTCAAAATTCTCAACAGTGTCTTTATTGTACATGAGTCCAAATTTGACCAATATAAAATTCAATATATCCAAAAGTGAAACACTACAATACTTTTTTTATTTTTCGGTATCATATTAAAAAGTTAAAAAAAAAATTAAAATATAATAAATTCTATCATAAAAACAAAAAGTGATCATTTTCATATAAAAAATTGATAAATGAACACAAAACATAATAAATAAATTTAAAAAATGAGAGTATCTTAAAAGTTGATAAGCTCTACCTAAAGATAATATAAATACCTAAAAAAAAAAAAACCAAATTTTTGTATGAAAATAACCGAGTGACAATTTCAAAAAAAATTTGATACTGCAGTCAAATCTGAGGTGTTTATATAAAAGACAAGTTTGTGACAATTTTAGAAAATCCAAAAGTATCATTAAATATTTATTTATAAACTCCACAAGGAACTTTTATTTTTATTTGGTTCAATAGTTTGGAGAGTTCAGATCAGTTTATGTGTATCTTGACTAATCCTCTTTTCAATTCAATCAAAAATAGATTATTCATGTTAGAACTAGAATATTCATGAGAGATAAATCTTTCATGATCTGATCTCAAGAGAGTGTCAAGATTCAAACTCAGCATATTTGAATTTATAACTCGTTCTGATTATCATTTAATTTATCTGCCTTATATATATTATCATCATAACAATTATTAGCTAATTACAACAAGATCTCTGCGGTTAGGCTAATTCTCGAGTAATGAGCCGAAGGTGAACTTTTACAATACCCGACGGCACAAAAAAATTTATAGAGAATTATACCCGGACCTTTAAAAGTTTATTACTTAATTATTCAAAATTCTTGATATTTGAAATATTATACATAAATTCCTTAAAGTTTTTACGAACGTAACCGTTAGTGTAAATATATCTGTTAATAAATTACAACTAGACCCTCTAAAATTTGTAAACATATATTATTTAGACCACTTAAGTTTAAAATATTATAGTTAGACCAAAAATACTTCAATCAAAGATAAAATATCAAATATTTTAAATTTTACCATTAAAATTGTTCTATTTATCTTTTATTGAAATAAAATTAAAAATAAATATTCAAATTTTTTTTAAAAAATTGTAATTAGTATACAATTATATTGTCTATTGAAATTTAACTTGGTCTTTTAAACGACTAAATTACTACCCTAATTAAAGTTAAAAGATATTGTGTTCATTAAAGTTTAACTCTTTATTTAATTTTATTCTAATAGATAGTATAACTATATACTAAATATGATTTTTTTTTTAAAAACTAAATTTTTATTTTTGATTTTATTTCAATAAATAACATACTAGAACATGAATTTTGAATGAAAAATTTATGTTCTATTATGAATGATTTAGACCCCTTATTTGATTTTTTAATTTTATTTCAATATATAATATAATTGTATATTAATTATAATTTTTGAACAAAAAATTAATTTTTATTTTTAATTTTATTTTAATAAATGATACAATAGAATATAAATTTTAATTGTAAAATTTAAAATATTTGATATTTTATTTTTGATTGGAGTATTTTTGGTCTAAATATAATATTTTAAATTTAAGCGATCTAAGTATTATATACCTATAAACTTTAAGAGAGTTTAAGTATAATTTATTAATGAATATATTTATAGAAAACGTCTAAGTGTTACACACGTACAAACTTCAAAGAGTTTGTATGTAATATTTTAAATATCAAAAATTTAAGTAATTAAATAACAAAGTTCGGTATATTTAAATGTAAATCCCCCTAAAATTTACTTGCCTGTGTAGTAGAGGGCTGATCGACTAGGTAGCGCTAGAAAAGGCTTCGAGTAACTTTCTTCTGAGCTCTTCATAGTCCTCGTATGATTAATTATTAAATAAACAATAGGTTAATTGTATTTTTTATTTTTAAATTATACATGTCTTATTAGTTTGGTCTTTAAGTACTAATATTATTAATTTAGTCTCTAAAATATTCAATTTGTGTTTAAATAATACTTATATAAACAAAAATTTGAATTTTTAGTAAAATAATCACGTGTTGGACACATAAATACTATCTAAAAGAATGATATGTAGTCACTTTCATCAAAAAATTTAACGAATTGTGTGACTAACGATCAAAGTGATACGAAATTTAAACTTTAGGGACCAAATTAATAAAATTAAGGGTTAATAACATTTTTGGATCTTAAAATATGTAATTTTTATTAATTTGAATCCTAAAGTATTAATTTTATCAATTTGATCTCTAAAATATTTAATTCGTGTTTAAATATTTTTTACATAGATGGACCGTTAAATTTTTAATAGAATGATCATGTGTTTGACACGTGATATTGTCTGAAAGAATGACACGTGATAATTTATGTTAATTAATACAATAGAAATCAAACTTATAAAATTAATATAATAAAAAATTAAATAATACGAATTAAAATTTTAAGAACTAAATTAATAAAATTAATAAAATGATTAGCAAGATAAAATACGGAACTAAAAAGTAATCATTAAATCTACCCGAGAAAGTAAAAAGCTCCGAGACAAAACCCACTGAATCCTCTCTCTCTCCCCCCCTCTGGTGTCTCTTTCTCTTCTCCCTCCCTCTATTTGACACATAGACGAGTAAATCATCATTGATTTTGGTTACTCTTGTTCAGCAATTCAATCTTTGTTCCGAAGATTCGAATTGTGTGTCACTTGCTAGCCAGCCAATTCCAGCTCTCCTTGATCAAGTTATGGTGATTTATACCGCTCCTTCGTGATCTCAATCGAAGCTTATCATATCACCTCCGGCATGCACTGGACTCCTCTTTGTCTCGTCTATAAATTCTCTGTTTCACACAACACACAAGTCTCTCTGTATTTGTTGATGCTCATCTAACAAGTCTTCTTCAGAGAACAAAGCCTGAGAGATATACTGTGGTAATTCTCCCCCTCTCTCTCTCTTTCTCTCTCTCTCTCTCTCACACACACACACACGCTCTCACGGACATGCTTATACGCATATATGTGAATTTTCAATTGTATTGGGATAGGCACTGGCACATTCTTCTGAAGTGGTGAACGCGTGAGTTCTAACAATTAATCATTACAAAAACAAATCAATAGCGGTTCTGCGGAATATGGATTCGTGTTTGTGTGAAATGCAGATAGCTTTGAATGGAAAGATAGAGTTAGTGAGTTGAACTTTTTATTCCTTTTAAATTCACTTTGTTTCTGTGGCTGATAACTTCTATGCAGTCTTTACAACTGGAGTAATTGTTACTCTTTTTATTGAAAATTTTGTTTTAAAACTTTTATTTGTTGGGAAATAGAAGTTGAAACTCCGGAAAGTGTTTATATGCATTTGCTTGTCTGACTACTTGAGTGCTCCTTGGACAGTATCCTTTGTTTTTATTCAGTGTTGTATAACATGGAGTGGAGAGCTTTCTTTATCCTAGAATTGACCTCTCTTTCAAGCTGTGTATTGATCACAACATTTCAATCTTGAGAACTAAATTCTGCGCCACTATGGTATGTGTGATAGACTTATGGCAATTGATATCCTCTGAAATTAGAAAAAAAAAAAAAGTGTTTATTATTTCTAAAGTCATTTCTGCAGCATAGACTCTAGATAGCAAATTCAGTTTGGGTAAGTACATAGGTATATAGGTATGTGTATGTTGTGAAGGTGTGTGGGGGTGGCCTTGGTGCAACAGTAAGATTCCGTGACCCGGGCATCAATAGTATCAACCTCTTTGCTTGTGGGGAAAAGATTGTGTACATCTCACTATTCATAGACACTATCGTAGTGGGTAACATGTTTGTCATTGTAATGTTATTGTGGCATCTTCTTACAATTTTTTCTCGCACTTGCTATGTAGTAAGAGATGGTTGCCTTTGGGAAAAAGTTGAAGGAAAGGCAAATCCAAGAATGGCAAGGGTAAGATCTATTGTATTTCAACTATATCTAGTTTGGGTTTGCATTTTTATTGGCACAGTTTTTTGTTATTGAATGTTGAAATAAAATGCATTTATATTTGCCATGCATGGGTTGGTGGACTGTTTTCTTTATATAGAATCTTCTTGTTGTTTTATCATGATAAACAATCCTAGTGAACACCGGTTAGTACGCCATCTCTTAGCTTGCTAGGACTAGGACAGTTTGAAATCTTATACACTGTGGAACGATTAATTGAGGATGGCTACATGTGAGCATTGTATTTGATGAAGTAGCTTTATAAAAGCCCAGATAATACTAGTTGTATGACGAAAAACGTTCAACTTCCTATATTAGGATGAAGAGGTCATCGAAGTTTCACCAGTTATGATGCTATAATGACTATTTCAGAGAAAGGGGGAAAACAGAGTGGTTGAGCAAAGACAAAATCAACAGAGAGAGAGAGAGAGAGATCTATGCTAATTCGGAATGTTCATTCCTTTTGTTGATTATATTATTAGATGGGACGACATCTCCCTATATAAGTTTATTATGTGCTAATTTGTTTACTTTTCAGATATTACATCAACTACAAATTGATGAAGAAAAAAGTGAAACAATACACCCGCCAAATTGAAGTTAGAGCACTAGATCGCCGAAATGTTCTTAAGGATTTCTCAAGAATGTTGGACAACCAGGTAAGCTTCCATTTAATATGAAAATTTGTGCACGTACATTTTAATTGCAAATAAATATCAACGACAAGCATAGGGTATTAGCATTCATGCTAGCCATTTCTTATTTGTTGGCTAATCTGTTTTTGAGCTCCTTGGTACGTCTCAAACCAAGTATCAGATGAAGTTTCTCCAAGGATGTTATAATCCTGAGTGCCTTTTGATGGACTCTTTAACACAGGGTTTCTTGGTTGTTTAAGCACTAAAATGCTTATGCCTTTTTCCAGAGTCTGTTTAAACAATCCATCAAATTCAGTCGAAGAAAGCTTTTGCTAATGCTGTGGCAATGGATTCTATGGATCGTTTAATTTGGGCAAATCTAAAAACAAGCTTTCAGACATCCAAAGCAATAAGGGTTTGTGGACGCCAACAGTGGCCTTTAGGCAGCATGCTGAGATATGGCAGATGAATACTGGGAATTCCCATGTAGCTTCACTATGATTTTATTTGCATTTATATACATATGTGTAATCCATACGAATACCTTTAAAATCGGAGTACCTTTAAAAACCGGAGGCTTTTTGCATGATATGATTCCTATGTTTTGTGATGGAGATTCTAATGTTTAATTTTTCATCTTATGACAATTGCAGATTGAAAAGATTGTCCTTTTTCTGTTGGAACAAGAAGGGCTACTTGCAAGCAGGATAGCAAATCTTAATGAACAACAGGATTCTCTTCAAGAGCAGCCAGATATTTCCAAAATATCTGAACTACGGGAAGCTTATAGAGCAGTTGGGCAAGATCTTTTAAAGCTTTTCTTTTTTGTTGAGATAAACGCCATTGGTCTGCGTAAGATCCTGAAGAAATTTGACAAACGCTTTGGCTATAGATTCACCGATTACTATGTCAAAACGCGTGCTAATCATCCCTATTCCCAGCTTCAGCAAGTGTTCAAGCATGTGGTAATATACTCAAGTCAAAGGCTTAGTGTATTTCTTTCTTTGTTTTTTCTTTTTGGATTTTGTTTTTGCCTTTCCTTTCCCTTCTAGACATGTTTAGACTTCAATAAGCTTCAAAATGTGACTCTCTCCCCAGATGAAATTCTGTTGTTGGAGTGGACAAGCGTAATAGATACTGCTGCTAGGTTTGCAAATTAAGTCCTACAACTTCATAGTGAATCAAGCTATCACTGACAATGAATGAAATGCGCAGGGTTTAGTTGCAGTTGTGGGAGCCATATCTCGCAATCTTGCAGAACTTCAGGACCGCCAGGGAAGCTACTTGTCAATTTATGATCAGCCTGGTCTCCCCCTCCAGGTTTCCTTATCTACTTTACTTATTTGCTTGTTTAGCTGTACCCCCTTGTGATTGTCTTCTATCTCTCTCTTGCTTCTGATATAAGATTCATTAGCAGGATCCTGTCATTGAAGCAATTAAAAAGGCTGCAGACAGATTAACCTACTCAACAAATTTCCTTCACTATTTGGCACAACATGCTCTTATTATGCAAGAAGAGTTGCCTACTCCTGCTGAGGAACTTGTTGATGACCAAAGATACCATTTTATATCTCTTCTGTTGAACTTGGCAAACACGTTTCTTTATATGGTGAATACCTATATTATTGTTCCAACAGCGGATGACTACTCCATGAGCCTTGGTGCTGCAGCAACAGTTTGTGGGATTGTGATTGGTGCAATGGCTGTTGCACAGGTCTTTTCTTCAGTGTATTTCAGTGCTTGGTCTAACAGATCATACTTCAAACCTCTAGTATTTAGCAGTATAGTTCTTGTTGTGGGAAATGCTATGTATGCATTGGCTTACGATCTCAATTCAATAATGGTTCTTATTATTGGTCGTCTATTTTGCGGGTAACTCTCCCTCCATGTGTATCTGTGTGCTTATTCAATTTGATGAGCTCAACTGCAGTGTGCATTTGGTTGTTATTCTTCCTGGAAGTATAATACCTGTCTACATTCGTTTAGAGTCCATGATTTTTTTTTTTTTTTCTGAATGCTTTCTATAAACTTTGAGTGAACATCTGGACTTCTCCAGGTCTTGTATAGCAGATCCACTTCTGGATACAGACACGGGGAAAAAAACAGATTCTCTTCTGAGTGATAAAATGGAAGTCTTATTATTAGATCCTTTATGCTGTTTGGTTTTTTGGTGTCATCTATTTGCCTCCCTCAGTCATTAATATCTACAAACTCTAATGCTTGTGACAATGCAGTCTTATCTTTGTTGTGATCCTGTAGCAATCACCCTATTAGTGTGAGCTTACAAAACACTCTTTAACTTCTCAAGGAAAAACTGATCACATCAGAACTAAGAATCCATGTAACACTGGCATTCCCACAAAAAAAAAAAGCAAATAATGATGTACAGTATCAGCAGATGGAACACTAGAAAAATGAACAGTAAGTTTATGTCTAACAATCTGCAGAAAATGTGCATGCGGCATGCCCCTAGAATTCTTTTGGTTGTGTCATATGGGTCATATTTCCTAGATCAGCATATATTTGATTTGTAGCTTTGCTGATTCCTCATATGCGGTTTGCATTAGAGTTGGTAATCATTCCAGTAGTTACACAAATAGAGTAGCACTCATTGTAAACCTGCTTGGTTGTATTCTAAATAGGTAAAAAGGTAAAAAATGCTTGAAGAATTAACATGCGTTTACTGTTTATGGTCTTTTCCAGACTAACATTGTATGAGTAGACATGATTGTGTCTTTTGATGCCTTTTTCTAAATTGCAGTTTGGGTTCTGCTAGAGCAGTTAACCGGCGATATATCAGTGATTGTGTACCACTTAAAATCCGCCTGCAGGCTTCAGCGGGTTTTGTTAGTGCCAGTGCTCTTGGAATGGCTTGTGGCCCTGCACTTGGTGGCTTACTTCAAACTAATTTTAAGATACATAAGATCACCTTTAATCAAGAGACTTTGCCTGGTTGGTTAATGGCTGCGGCATGGTTAATTTACCTACTGTGGTTGTGGATCTCATTTAAAGAACCTGCTCGTGAAGCTGAAGAGAACCATACACCACAAGAATCTAATGCTGGTATGTTTTCCAAATTTTGACATTATATTTTTTTGTCAGGGGAAAATGGATTTAAGTCAGCAGATTTCATACAAGGTGCCCCAGAAATTATTGGTGTATGCAGAATATAATCGACCAAAAGTTGTAGTGTTGCTTGGTTCTGATGTAAAGACAATGCCATAGTCATTGCATAAACTCTGGTACTTTAATATCAGTACCTTAAAGAATTCAGTGCTAATTGCGGACATTTCTTTTTAAAATTTTGAACTACTGAGTTCCCTTCTTGTTAAATATGTGTCTTACTGCTTTTATGAAGCCCATGAATGGTTGACTACTTTTAATATTTATCTGTACTAGTCCTACAGATAAATATTTTGATTGAAAGACCTTCTCTCCTTCTCCTCCTTTTTCCTTCATTTGCTATTGTGGGATATCTTTCCTTAAAGTCCCTTATCTCTCACCACCATCTCTCTACTTCTGATCTCCAACACTCTTATATCTCGCTTATATCTTTTTCACTACTCTTACCACTGCTAGACTTTCTTCCTTTGTTGTCTCTATTTCCCTATCTCTCAGGACTTTTCTCCCCCTTTTCTGGTAATAAGATACCTTAATAAAGTTTTATCATGAAAGCCATCAGCCCTTTGAAAATTCTATTGCAATTCAACTTGATTTCTGGGTAGAATATTCGAAAGTAAATTAATCAGTTCTCCCAATTATTATCAGGGATAGTTACAATACCCAGGCACGTAGGCGGAGCTATGTATGGTTCAGGGTGAGCAAGTGCCCCCCCTCAATTTTTTTTTTTTTTATTACCTAGATATATATATTATATATTTGTATAATATATCACTTATGCCCACCTAAAACTAAAGAAAAAAATGCTAGGCCCACTAATTCCACCCAAAAAACATTAAAAAGCCAAGCCCACATAAAACAAAAAAAACTCTGGGTCCATATTGTTGAATTTGAGTATCGTACAAAAAATTAAAACTTAATCACGTTAAATTGCGACTCAATGGAATTGAGTTAGGATTGATTCTCACAACTTGAGATGGATTCCAAATTGTTGAAATTTGGTATCGATCTATTTTTTTAACCGATTGAGTTGTCAGTTGATTATGGTGTATCATATCTTCTCAGCTTTTTATGGGTATGATATGAAGTTTTAGATTTTTCTGCGATACTTGTACTCATATAGATAATGTTGAACAGTATTGTAAAGGTAAATAGAACAATGAGATAAATTTTTTATTTTATTAAGACTTTCTCCAGATGACCTTAATTTTATTATTTATGAATTTTTGTAAGTGAAAGTTCCCGCAATTGACCTTCATTTAACTTCTTCTATTTTTACGAGAAATCGCCACTATTTTTATTCAAGTATTGATTATAGTCTTTACTATGTGTCAATCGTTTTTAAATTTTTTTTTTTATGTTTAGCTCTTAAATTTTAGGTTAATAATTTTACTATGTTAATATATCAGTGTGTTTGGAACATCATTTATTGAATAAATTTAATAGATTGTTAGTGAATAAATAATATTTTTTAATTACAAAATTGACAATTAACTCCATTTTTTATGATGATGATAATTAGTCATTTTTTGTACATATACAATTTGCATTATTTTTTGGCATTTTTTTTGTTAAATGGAATTCATGTATCAAATGTGATATAATGAATATAAATATATTATATAGTGTGATTAGTTAGGAAGAAAAAAATTAGAGTGCGTAATTAATATGCCCATCCTGAGTAAAATTTCTGACTCCGCCCCCGCCCAGGCAAGTGATATCTCAATGATTCTCTGCCTTGGAGTGTGTATATTCTCGTACTCACTGTTCATTTGGTTCATTTGTCAAATCAAATACAACTCTTGTCTCTTTGGGTTTATGTAAGCATGTTTTGCATGAAACCACTGGATTGACATGATGCACCCCTCAACTGCCTGACCAGGACCAGTCATAGATAAGCTTGTGAGGTACGAAGGGTGTTTATTTCGGGGAGCTGTTGCATGACTTTTGAAGTACTGGAATATCAAGGTTCAGAAAATGTGCCCAAAAACAAAAAAAAACACATATAAAACCATGCCATCTTAACTTAAATTTGGTAGTTCTTTGGCAAGTGTTAAGCTGGTCCATGTATGGATGCATATGTGATCATTTTACTAATTTTGTTGATCACTTTTACAATTGTTGTTGTACAACTCTGACTCCTTGTTTCAAAGTATAAGTGTAAAGTAGTTTTCCTCAAGGTCTTAGAAATGATCTAACTAGGGATGTCGGCTCTTTTGGATGCAAGTAGAGAATGATAAGCTTGAGAATAGTCTTGCACAACCGTTGCTTTTAACCTCAGAGGAGAACGAACTGGATGAAGAAGGTGCCCAAGATTGTGATGCAAGTGAAGAAGCTCCTCAGGACTCTTATCAGCCAGCCAACTCTATAGGATCTGCGTATAGGTTACTTACACCTTCTGTAAAGGTAAGTTTTATTCTAAGCTTATATCCTCTCAATGAAATTCAATGGCTTTATAATCCACATGGCAAATTCAGTTATCAGTGCTCAACCATTGGGTGTGCATATAGTGTGTAAACATTAGGAGTGCTGATACTGTCAAATTAGGTTCATTGGCTTGTAAAGCAGCTCCATTGTTTATTGCAACCTGAGAATATGAATAAGCTTATGATTCTTCAGCAAATTGGTGAAAAGATTGAGCTTATTGCAGCATTACCAAAATTTCAAACACACACACACACACACACATGTACACATCTTTTGGCAAAACCTCCTTGGCTTGAACCTCTGACTGTTCATTCTTCTCACATGATTAATTAAACACTTTCTACTTTTTGAAAGCACTCCATACTTTGGGATTAGCACTATTGCTATAGCAATGGTGAATAATTTGGTGATGCTTGTGGGAGAGGTAATTGTACATGTTAGGGTGCATTACTTGGGTTCTTGGGATGCCTGGATAACTCCTTCCCAGCCCCCAGGAAATACATTTGATTATATCATATCTTTTTTTTCTTTAGAAGTACGGCGTTACTAAGTTGATTGTGTATGGCTGAAACTTCTTTAGCACGCCTGCATGGATGCCCACACTAGAAGAGACTTGACTAGCTTCCTAAACACTGATTTGACCCTGTAGTATGAGTTTGGATTTCAAAGTATGAAGAAAAGAATAAGGAATACCGAGGATAGTTGAACTGATTGTACATCTCCCACATATCGTTTTACATTGTAGTAAAAGAATACAATGATAACCATACCCTGCATAATAGAATGTCTTTCAGTGCCGGATCTATGTAATTTCAGCATTACATATCTTGTTATCATTCAACAATAGAGATTCAGTTGTGCTGCTATCCTTTACTATTGGCATAGACTTCAAATTGACATTGATGCCATATTTGTGGTATCGATTTCTAAATCAACAGTTTTTGTTAGTATTTCAATTATATTTTACTTGAAATATGATGTGCAGTGTACACTATGCTGTTCCTAAATTGTACAGACATATCATTTGTTGGATTCACTTGTACGAGATCATTTTTGTCTATTACTATCATGAAGCTGAAATTAGACATTTGAAGCTGTTGGAAAGTTTTCAAGAATATTCTCATATGCTTTTTTATCTATACATCTATGTCCATTAGAAATTAGTAGTATTATTATTGGTGTTATCATCATCATTATCATATCGTTACTTTTACACATAATTGATTCCCTAATTGGAAAAAATTTTATACATCGCCAATTGCATGTGCACTAACTTTTTTTACCATTGATTTCATTACGTGTTTGCGTTGTTTTTTTTTGACCCAATTTCTTCTTTGATCTAAATTCTCAAATACAAAGAATCTGATCCTCCATCTCAAGGTAGCTGCAACAAAATCAGATTTATATGACCACTCACAAAACCATTTGTGATGTTATCAGGTTCAATTGCTGATTTACTTCATGCTGAAATATGCAATGGAGATTCTTCTCTCAGAATCTAGTGTCATTACCACACACTACTTTAATTGGTCTACAGGCACAGTGGCAATATTTCTTGCATGCCTTGGCCTAACAGTTCTTCCAGTAAATGTTGTTGTTGGAAGCTACATAAGCAACATGTTTGAAGACAGGTAGTTTTTTTTCGTGAGAAACATGATTTACTTATGAACTTGGGTTTTAATTATTAGTTATAAATAGTTGTGTAATTTGTTCCATGAAGGCATCTTCTGGTACTCAACCGAAGAATATTCGCAATGCAGATATTAAAGTTTTGACAACAGTAGAAGCAACATTTGCTTCTCATTTTGCATCAGTAATGTCATAACCAGTCCCACAAAGTATATGCTGGAGTCCCTTCTGTAAGACTAACTTTCCACTTGATAAGATGACCACGATTACCAGTGCCAAGCAGATGCATTGCTTTGTGGTTGACATGACCAGTTCATTGTCGGCTGCAGTCGACAAGACCTTTTGAGGCCATTCGTGGTTGAACCATTTGATCTGATGATTACATTGAGCCTTCACAACAGTCTGTCTATGGTGTAAAAACAGTTATTGACTATGGACTATCAGATTGATGACATCATCACCCTTGAGTAGGCATGACAAATGCATTTTTCTGGAAAGATTATACTTTTCGGGCTTGATTTAATGCCTCTTTTATGGTTTGAGATCTAGGAAGCATGGATATAGATACGGGAATACGGCAAAATTCAAAAATAGAGGACAAAGGTACGGCGATGATACGGCTATTAAAATAATATAATATATTTTTAAAATAATAAAAGAGTTATAATATATTAAAAATAAAGCATATATTATAACAATATTAATAAAAAGACCTAGAAAATATTAATTTTTTGATTAAAATTAAAATAGATCAAAATAAATATCTATCATTTTCATCAAACATCATTACATCTATTGACATTCATAGTATATAAGTTGCATAACAAAAATTATATTAAAAAAATTAGAAATAACACCTCTTTTAATAGCCAACAATTTTTTATTAATAAAAAAAATTCTTAGTCGTGTCCTACTGGGTTCACTATTTAGGACACTTCTAGCCCTATCCGACACGTGTTCGGCTGTGTCCGACGCGTGTCCGTGTCCAACACTGCCACAACACCCCTCCAGGAAGTATCTGTGCTTCCTAATATGAGATGTTCCCAAGTTATGCGCAAGTTCTCATTGAGCCTCCATGGTTGCTTCAAGGATCATTGCTGAATATTTCTGAATTTGTCCATGAAACCTGAAAATAATTTTAATGACTCCAAAAATAACATAAGCCTCCTCATTCTAATATTTTTTTTCTTTCCTTTAAAATAGTCTTACTTTATTTATTCGACATAGTACAGGAACTTTGGCAAGAATTTTTTTTGTCAACTGCATACCCAACTTGTTTTGTATATGCTATAGATCAAACTTGGATTCCAGCTTATTCCTATCTCTATATAGTACATGATTCTTAAATCTCACACTTTGTTTGCTTTGAGGTCTGTGCATGTAAATTAACGTATGTCTGTACTAGAAATATTTGTGAGTGAATGGATACTCAAACTAAGAGTAGAGCCCCGTATATATAGCCAAATAATAATACAGAGTGACCTAAACATTCTTGTAGTTTAGGTAAAATATAAATGTCATAGTAAGGGTAAAAAAGGGAAAAAAAATCCTAATAAACTAGACTATACTCCAACACTCCCCCTCAAGTTAGGCGCAAAAATATTAACTAAGTCAAGTTTGACAACTGAGTTCCGGAGAATAAATAGTGTGACAGGTTTGGTGAAAACATCCGCAACCTGATCACTGGTCCTCATAAACAACAGAGTGATAATACCACAACGAACCTTCTCTCGAAGAAAGTGAACATCAATCTCTATATGCTTCGTCCTCTCGTGTAATACAGAGTCAGAAAGCAAGCTGAATAGTAGATCGATTATCACAATATAATGTAGATGAAGAAGTCATTGGAAATTCCAGTTCGCTAAGAATCGATCGTAGCCAGATAATCTCACATGTGCCAAGCGCCAGTGCCCGATACTCTGCCTCTGCTGACGAACGAGAGACAATTGCCTGCTTCTTGCTCTTCTAATAGATAAGATGAGTCCCTCGAAAAGCACAGAAGTCCGTAGTGGATCGACCGTCACATGCTCCCCGTAATCTGAATCTGAATAACAGGCTAAAAAACCAATCTGAGATCCTGATGCATAGAAGAACCCAAGTTCAGGATAAGACTTGAGGTACCAGAGAATATGATAAACTGCATCAAGATGAGGCTGACACAGTTTGTGCATGAATTGACTAACTCGGTTGATAGCAAATGAAATGTCTGGCCTGGTGTTGGCGAGATAGATAAGTCTACCTACCAATCTTTGATAGACAGTCGGATCTTTTAATTCCTCACCGTCAGTAGTAAGCTTTAGATTTGGAATCATGGGTGATGATGCCGATTTGCACCCCAGCATCCCAGTGTCTGAGAGAAGATCTAGGACATACTTTCTCTGAGAAAGAGCAATACCCCTGCTGCTACGGGCAACCTTAATCCCAAGAAAGTATCGCAAAAAACCAATGTCCTTCACATTGAAGGCCTTTCCAAGATCTACCTTGACCTGCGCAATCCCAGAAACATCATCTTCAGTAATAATAATATTATCAACATATACCAAAATGATGACACATTGTCCAGAAGTATTCCGTCGAATGAAGCATGTATGATTAGAATGACATCTGGTGAACCCTAAACGTACAACTACACCACTAAAGCGAGAGAACCAGGCTCGTGGTGACTGTTTCAGTCCATATAGAGACTTACGCAGTCGACATACCTTTCTAGCATACTCCCCCTCACCACGAAAGTCCGATGGTGCATCCATGTAAATAATCTCGTCCAGATCACAGTGAAGAAATGCATTCTTCACATCCAACTGATGAAGAGGCCAAGAGTACTCCACAGCCAAAGAAATAATCAATCGAACAATAGTCAATTTTGCCACGGGGACAAAGGTAGCACCAAAATTATGACTGGTACTTGAGTAAATCCCTTCGCCACAAGCCTAGCCTTGTGACGATCAATAGTATCATATGCAAGAAACTTCAGGGTGTAAACTCAACGACAGCCAACAGGCTTCACCCCTAAAGGTAAAGAGACAAGATCCCAGGTATGATTACGCTGAAGAGCGTCTATCTCTGTCTGCATAGCAATAACCCATTGGGACTCCTGCATAGCCTCTGAAATAGAGTGAGGAACTGACGTATCTGATAAGGCTATACTATAAGCTCGAAATGTAAGAGACAAATTATCATAAGAAACATAAGCAAATATTGAATATAAAGTCCTGCCAGTCCAACCATAACAAACAACTGGACGGAGATTACGCTACTGATAACGATGCTCTAAATCATCATCCTCTACTGACAATGTCTCATCAGGCAAAGTAACTGGCTCAGTACTTGCAATCTCACCAGTACTAACAACAGGTGCATCAATATGCTCAACAAACTGAGAAGTATTACTTGCATTCCCTGAGGTAGAGGGGACATCAGCAAGGGGATGAGAGCGAGGGCTACGAACATAAACTTGCAAAGGAAGAGAGATTGGTGACTCTGTACTGACAAGGATAAGTGATTTTGGAGGAGGAGAGACTGATGACTCTGTAGTGATAGTGACCAATGGTTCTATCTCTTGTGGTAACGGAAAATCAAAAGGAGTATCATCAACTGGAGGGGCAGACATAGGACTGAAAGAAAAATAAAGAATATGCTCAAGGAAGGTAACATCTAGACTATGATACATACGTCGCCTAACAGGATCATAACACCGATACCCCTTAGACTAATGACAATAGCCCATAAAGACACAACGAATTGTTTTATCATCAAGCTTATGGCGAGTAGAAGACCGATCTTGAACAAAACATATGCAGCCAAAAATACGAGGGGGGACTGAAAAAAGTGTCCGCTAAAGGAATAAGACCTGTAAGGGAGTCCTATGCTGAAGAATACGACTCGGTGTACAATTACACAAAAAGGTAGAAGTCAAAATAACAAAATGCCAATAAGATTTTAGTACCCCATACTTCTAAGCATACAACGTACCATCCCTATCAGACTCCTATTTTTTCTTTCAGCAACTCTATTTTGCTCAGGAGTATATGGACAAGTGAGCTGCTGAAAGATACCCTGAGAAGAAAGGTGAGACACTAAGGCATCAGACACATATTCTTTGGCATTATCTGAATGAAGAGCACGAACAATGACATTGAATTGTGTCTTAATCATCAGGAGAAATTGAGTGATGACAGGGAGTACATCCGACTTCCTATGCAAAAGATAGACCCAAGTACAATGGGTATGATCATCTATAAATGTCACATAATATCGAGCACCTGACAAAGCAGTAACAGGAGAGGGTCCCCAAATATCATATTGTATTAGGTCAAATGGTTTGGATGATTGGTGCATGCGAAGAATATAACTGGTCCGAACATGTTTTGATAGGGAATATATAACACAGTCAAGTTTATCACTAACACAAGCTTTGCTCAAAGCAGGAAATAACATATATAAATATTTAAAATTTGTATGTCCAAAACGGTCATGACACAACTGAACAGTTTGTGATGAAAAATCATAACGATGAGTATTAGGTAAAATACTAGCATGCAAGCTAGGAACAGATAAAGACAAAGCAGGTCATAAAAGTGGAGGTGGAGAAACTGGTGAAACCAGAGGTGGATTACCTAGATAATGTAGTGTCCATCTCTCTCATGTCCCCTGATAATAATCCTCCTGGTACTCAAGTCCTGCAAATAACACGAATTAGATAAGAATATAGTTGCATACTGAAAATCTCTAGCTAACTGATATACAGATAATAGATTTATAGCCAGCTTTGGAGCATGAAACACTGAACGTAATGTAAAGCCATCTGGGAGGCGGACTGTTCCGCTACCAATAATAGGGGCATGTGTACCATCTGTTAACTGAACTTGAGTAAGTAACTGCTCGTCAAAAGAGGTGAAATGATGGGCCTCACCTGTCATATGACCATTCGCACCCGAGTCCAACATCCAAAGGAGAGACGGACTGGTGCAAGTAGGAAAGGCACAAGGTATACCTGTAGTAGTCGCAGCAGTAGTAGTCGAACCTTGAGAAGTCAGGGCTAAAATAAGTATATCTAAGCGAGAAGTGATAGCATCCATATCACTCTGCCAAGGAGGAGCAGTAACAGTAGTAGCAGGAGCAATGACTGTAGATGGTGGTGCCTCAGCAATGGTAGCAGTACGACTGCAAGGAGGCGACTTAAGCTTTGGATGGAGCTTCCAACAAGTAGCCCTGAGATGTCTTAGTCGGCCACAATAATTACACTGACGAGAATCCCTATGTCTACGCTGCTGTGGGGTACCCTGACGGCGCTAGGCCGAGCGCTGTCGACCCCTATACTTGATAGAAGTACTAACAAATATCTCAACGGTAGGGGCCTTAACTCCCTCAATAGTAGTCATATCATCAACAACACTAGGGCACCCATGACAAAAAACAACTCTAAGATAAATAAAGGGACAAAATAAGGGATAACAATATACCTCCGGTCGAACTGTAGCGACAGATAAAGAAGGTCCAGAAAGCTCCCAAATAATCAGGTCACGGTGCCCAGAAATCCAATAAAGATAAATAAGTGATCTAAGAGTAGCCTCGAATTTGGGAATCAAAACCACTGGTGCTTTGTTGCAGCAAGAGCACGTGGTGATCTACAAACATATGGCCATTGGGAGAGTAGCCTTGGATTAGCAAAACTAATCCCACTAGAGAATTGTTGCGGCAATATCACATGGTGATCCACAGCCATATGGCCACCAGGCTTGTCAGGAAGCCTCAACCAATAACGTCCTCAAGAGCTCTACTTGTCATCTAACAAATAGAGGGGTTGGTTATTTGTGTTGGCTTATTGGTTTATTGAGGTTGGTGTGGGTGATGGGCAGTGTATTTACGGTGATGGGCTGATGGGCAGTGTATTTTCGGTGATGGGCTGGGTATTTGTGTCGATTTGTTGGCACTGTCACGAAGAGGCAGTCAGTGGTACCAGCGGCAGTCGGTGGCTGGAATGCTGTTGGTTGGTTATGGGCAGTGTATTTTAGGTGTTGTCGGTGTGCTTTGTGGGCAGATAATCTCTGTCGGTGGATTGGATGGAGACAATCTCTGAGTGTTTCAGTGGAGGCAGTCGGTGGTTGAGGAGTGTTTATGGTTCGCTGTTTGATGAGGGATGGTGCTGTTATGTCTTGCTGGTTGTTATGTTTTGGGGGGCTAGGATTATGGTTAGGGTTAGGGTTGGTGGCTTTGATACCAACTAGAAATATTTGTGAGTGAATGGGATACTCAAACTAAGAGTAGAGCCCTGTATGTATAGCCAAATAATAATACAGAGTGACCTAAACATCCTTGTAGTTTAGGCAAAATATAAAAGTCATAGTAAGGGTAAAAAAGGGAAAAGAAATCCTAATAAACTAGACTATACTCCAACACCTGTAAATTAGCTTCTATTGCTATGAGCTATGCCTATTCATTTATTCGTAAAATCCTGCCTCTAGTTGGATTCTCTGATTCTAGCATTAAAGGTCTGTTTTGAGTGTCTAATTATTGAGCATTGCTGTTGAAGTGTTGATGAAGACTAAATGCATATACCTGTACCCATATCTTACAGAACTGCTTATTTCTGCACATTTTGTGCAACTCAACTTCAGGATAATGACATGCAAGGATCTCTGTTCTATAATTGTTTTCTATCAGGATCAAATGATCAATTTTTCCTAATCATCTTGTTTCAGGCAAATTTTACTGGCATCTGAAATTATGGTTTGTTTGGGCATACTCCTAAGCTTCCACATATTTCTCCCATATTCTGTGCCACAATATGTCTGCTCAGGACTCATAATGTTTGTATCTGCTGAAGTATTGGAAGGTAATTTTTTTATAAACTTAATTACATCTAATGAATTCAAATAAATTGTATTAATGAGCGAAAATAAAGAGTGCAGGTTGGGAGGATCTCTTTTCAAAAGTAGGAAGATGATAACAAATGTAAGAGCTCAAGTTACTCAGTTGGACATGCCTTTGTTCCTATAGCCTAAAAAGAAGGATAAATTTCTTGAAACCCCATGAACCATGGCCCAATATCACTTAACCACCCTGAAGCCGACCCCTTCAAGTATTTCAAAATATCACTTAACCACCTTGTTAGTTTTCCTGTTAGAAAATAGTGTCAAAATTAACCAAAAGAACCTTTGGCACCCCTCTTGTATCCTCTTTCCCTCTTATCTCAGTAGTTTTTTAAGATGTTGCTCTCTCTCTCTCTCTCTCTGAACCGAGATCAACTCGACCTAGATCCCTCACCAGAATCAACCACCACCTAAATCACCTGTAATTTCCCTCATTCTTCCTCCGCTCCTACACCTTGTAACAACACATTCTGTGTGTGTGTGTGTGCGCGTGCGTGCGTGTTCACAGGCATCAAACACCAGCTCGGTACCATTCACATAAAGACCTGAACTTTACTTTGGACCCCTTGGTCAAAATACAGAAAGGACGAGCAGCTAACAAGAAACAATCTTCCTTTCCTTCTTGTGGTTGGTCACTGTAGTTTGGTTGAATGAGTTTTGAGGAGCGGAACCAAACCACCTGACATCTGTACAGCTTCATTTCCAATTATCTGAGATACAGTTCCCTATAGTCCTTACGTCTACTTTCGTTACACCCATCCATAAAGCATCCACTTCATGTATACATGTGTGTGTGTGACCTATATAGGTTCTTCATGGGTGTATTTTAACATTATTTTTAGGGACTTTTTGATATATTTAGACTGTAGGGAGGTTAAGTCATACTGAGCCATAGTTGAAGGAGGTCTTTAGTAATTAACACTAAGAAGAATGGATTGATAAATGATAAGTGCATCTCTTCATGTTCCTTAACAATATTTGTTTACCGTGTCAGGATCATGTACTTTATGGAGTTAGGAAATCGGCATGAATACAAAGTAACCTAACTGTTGTCCTTCTGGTAGTTCAAAATAATGAAATTGGCTGTGGACTTTTTCTACTTGTAGATGAATGGTAACTGGTATAGAGGGACCACTTGTGTCTGTGCAACAAATGCATTTTCTACCAGATCACCCCAGGGTGATATAGATATTGAACTTCACTAGTATTATATAATTATGGTAAATGAAACTACAACCCACTGTTGTTTTGATCTTATTCACTTTGGGAAAAAATACCCCAAGCTTACCTTCATAAAACAAATGGTCTCCTATTGCAAAGAAGAGGCCAGCTATTACCACGGAAGGCTGCCATTGTAATCACAAGTATGGAGTTCATACTTTGGATGCCACCGTCATTCCATTTAGGGCAGCTTTCCTTAGACTAAACGTGTTTTAGCCAATTATGTTGTCGGATAATTATTGTTGAAAAAGTGACTACTCTACTAATGCTTGCATCACACAACTTTAAGAGAGGTCACTGATCTAAAAAGATCCAGTACAAGGGCAGTAATTCAAATCTAGACAGCTCCTCCAAATGCTAGTGATATATGGTTTGTTTAGTTTTTATTTAGCTTGGAGGATGGATTGATTATCAAGAAGTATTATTTGTACTGGTTTTTCATCATAACATAAGGAATGATTTTCCTACTGCTTGTATTTGTCAATACGTGACATTGTGTTGCAATTTTTGTTGTCAATCTAGGTATCAACCTGTCACTGCTCTCTCGAGTTATGTCATCCAGGCTTTCTCGTGGAACCTTTAATGGTGGATTACTATCAACAGAAGCTGGGACAATTGCTCGAGTGATTGCAGATGGAACGATAACCCTGGCCGGGTACTTGGGTGAGAGTAGGCTCCTAAATGTCACCCTACTGCCTTCACTCTTAATTTGTATAGCCTCTATCATTGCTACCTGCTGTACCTACAACACCCTCTATTGATTTAGGCTTTGTAGTTGGACTTTGTCCTCAGGTTCTAAAACCATCCTCTTTCCTTGATCATTATTTTCCTCCCTGTTTTATCAATTGATTTGTTTGCTTTTGGTTTGTGAATTTGATTCTGATTCTTAGCATTCATGTATCAATGTAAATTGTTAGACAAATAGACGTCAAATTTCCTCAGTTAGATTCGCTTAAATTTCATATAAATTCTTGAACATTGCAAGTCCAGATAACTTTTTAGTTGTCACGCTGCAAATTTGTAACTTCTTGCATGGACGTATGTGGAACCACAGCCACTTAAAATAACACCAGCTTAGGTGGGGCAAGACATGGCTGAGCAGTTTATAATAACCTAGTCAAAGTACCTCGCACAAGGGCGCACTGGTCAATAGTGACAAAGTAGTAGATACCGATAGTGTTTTTAGTGCCCAAGTCACCATGTAGATTGTCAATTTTTCATACGAAAACAGCTCTTTAGAGAAAAATGTCAAATCTTTTTCACTTTTTGTAGCTATCCCTTTGGAATAAACATGTATAACACCAATAGAATGTGCCTGCAAATAGATAAAACTGTTGATAACATAGACAAACCATGTTAAACAATGTTTCAGAATTAAGCAAAACTGGGTGCTCTCTTAGGAATCTGTATATGTCCGCTGCTTATTTTGAACATTTTTTTGTGAGTAAGTAGGACTTGGTGCAAAATGATAGCGGACTTCAGCACAACAGTAAGTTTGCTCTATTGTGGCCAAGACATGATAGATTTAAGTATAGTAAAGTCTTTCCATGTCTTGCAATTATAATATTTCCGACTTAGGAACAAAGACCAAAACCAACCTTTTCTAGGTATGGTTCCAAGTGACTACCACTACTTGTATACTATATTCTTAATTGTGACATTATCAATACCATTTCCTTTCTTTGTGACTTACAATACTAAGGTTTCAGAGGTTGTTCAAACCAACCTTTTATAGGTATTATTGAAAGTGTATACCACCACTTGCATACTCTATTATTGATAGTGACACTATTTCTAACCTATTGATTTACAGTTCTTATGTTTCCAGACACAGACTCAAACCAACCTTTTATATGTATATGTTACAAGTAACTATACATCTGCTTATGTACTATATAATTTGTGGTAGTGTAGCAACATGGGTTGTTTGTTATTAATGCAAGCACCTAACACAGTGACCATAATCATATTAGACTACACATATCCATTTGGAAAAGTGTACATGCTCCACAAAGTCTTTGTCAGATTGAATTTTTTGATTTCAGAAGTTTTTTTTAGCACAATAGTCATACATTTACATGTCCTCTTTAGCGGCTCTAAGTTCTCTCCAATATCTTTTTTCTTCATTCACTTCTTGACAATTCATTAACTATTAATGAGTGGGACACTTATACTTCGTTTGGTGCGATGAAAAAATAGAAGAATGAAAAATCAGAGGGATAAATAAAATATTATGTTCAGTAAGGAAAGAAAATAAAAAGGATGAAAAAGTTGATGAATTAATTTTCCTTCTAACTCATTAAAATTGAGAGAAAAAATAGATGAAAATTTAAGTACATGTGTTGAAATGTATGTCATTTGTTTCTATATTTTTTAATATACGAATATAGCATGTTAATCAATTACATATTATGTATACATTAATTTCATATATATATAATAGTAAAATATGTATTTATATTTTTTTTTAAAAATAATTTTTTTTTTATCTTACCAAACCACCAAAAAAAAAAAATCAATAATATTTTTCATCCCTCTTATTAAACACAAAGGAGAAAAATAAAGATTCATCTCTTGAAGGATAACAAGTGTATCACTCTCATTTTTTATCCTTATATTTTTTCATCTGTCATATCAAACGGATTATTATATACATTGGGTTTTACTTGAATTTACGATAGATGATGCACCAAGAGAAAAAATGAAAAGAAAATGTATTAGTTGAGATTTCATTCACTCTTCAACCAATTCCGAATAATTCGGCTAAAGATTTTATTGAGTTGAGTATTGTGGCTGGTCCAGTGAGCTTGTTTTTCTTCCTACTTAGAGTGGTATCCATGCAATTGGATCGCCGATAAAGTTGTTGCAAAGGATTATTACAAACCGTTTACAAACTCAAAGTTCCATGAATATGATGTTTTCTTAAAACCGAAGCAGAATCGTTTTCTAGGAAAATTTTACTATCCGAGAAAATGAGATCCGAGGGTCACAACGAGAAAAGAAATTCAATGTAAACATTAAAAAAAAAAAAAAAAAAAAGGAATATTTTTGGTTTTGTTTTGTGTCTGTATGAAAAGTGAGTGTCTTTTTATTTACATTTATACGTGTTTATGCTCAACTATGTTGGCAATCAATCCGTGTCTGGAATAAATATTCGGTTATACTACGTTGTTACTGTTATGACATGTCGCCATTTAATAAAAAATAATCAGATAAATCAAGTGAATCACTTATTTATATTGGGTAATTATTGTATTACATGAAGGGGGAATTATTGAACCATATAACATTCCCTTATGCTCCATTTGGTACAATGAAAAAATAGAAGGATGAAAAGTTGAAATAATAGAAAGTTGGAGAGATCAATAAAACATTATATTTGGTAAAAATGGAAAATAAGAATGATGGAAAAGTGAATAGATTAACTTTTTTTACAACTCACTAAAATCAATCTTTCTAAAATGGGAAAGAAAGTGGATAGAAAGTTAATTATTTGTGTTGAGATGTATCTTATTTGTCTATATATTATGTATGCATTAATTTCATAAAAAAATATAATAAAAAAATATGTATATATATATATTACAAAGTAAAATAAAAAAAAATATTTTTTTCATCTTAACCAGGGGTGAAAATTTTCGATTCAACACAATGACATGACTCAAACTTGACACAAATTTTATGACACAAACTTGAAAATGACCTGATACGAGAACAAGAAATATAAAAGGTTCATAATTTTATGACTCAAACACGAATCTAACACGACACAATTCGATTGTCATCCCTAATTTTAACCAGCACAAAAAAAAATTAGTTATTTTTATTTTTCATCCATCCAACCAAATACAAAGGAAGAAAAATGTATCATTCCTACTTTCCATCATTGAAGGATATAAAATTTATCCTTCCTACTTTCTATCTTTCTTATCAAACGGAGCATTAATTTTTTTTCGGGGTAAATTTCACTAACATGAGATTGGTCTAATTGTAAGGACACCCCTTATTTTTTTTGAAATGTCACTGTCAGATTATGACAGTTAATAAACTAAATAGAGATGAGATTTTACTGAATTAGCTTTTAAGGATTTAACACCATTGCTTATCCTTTAACCTCATATAGTTTTTGGATTACCTTACACACACTCCAATTTAATTTAAAATTTAATTTTATCAAATTAACATCAAATTGAACTTTAATTTTATAAAATTAACATTCAATATCATTAAGTGTTAGTGTGATGAAATTAATTTTTTAATTAATGAAATTAAATGTCAATTTGGTGAAAACTAAATTCTAAATTAAATAATTTGAATGTTAATTTGATTAAAATAAATATGAAGTTGATAAAATTAAATATTAATTTGGTGTTAAATTAATGAAATTAGTGTTAGTGTGATGAAATTAATATTTGAATTAATAAAATTAAATGTCAATTTGATGAAACTAAATTCTAAATTAAATAAATTGAATGTTAATTTGACAAAATTAAATTTTAAAATATGAATTTGATGAAATTAAATATTAATTTGGTGTTAAATTAAAAAAATTAGTGTTTGTGAGATTAAATTAATATTTGAATTAATGAAATTAAATGTTAATTAATTAATAAAATTGAAGAGTCAACTTGAGGATAAAATTAATAATTCACTGTAATATATTCCGTACCATCATCGATTCTGTTAGATATCAGATGACTGTAGGGGTACTATGTGAAATTTATAATAAACTATAAAGGTATGTAGTCATATTTTAAAAATTATAGAGGGTATCTCTGCAATTAAGTCAATCTCGAGAGGGTGTCAATAAAATTTATTCTCATACAAGTCGGTGTGCCTTAACCCAGGACAAATTGTTTGGTGTCCAAAAGTGGGGCAATAAATTTTCAATGGTAGCTGGGAACATGGTTGTTTAACTGACAAGTTTGCCCATAAATACTGTTAACCAACAAGAGAGTGGGGTCCAGCGGAATATTAATCAAACTTCTCAAAAAGTAATAGTTTCAATTTTGGAATTCTCATTAGAACTCGATGATTAATTGTTACGATAACTTAGTTAAGTTCGTTCCTGAAAGGTGTAACAAACGTGGTTAGAGATCTTATAATCACATCAATTAAGACATATTGGAATGGTTTCTGAACGTTCACCTTTACTCTGACTTTTTTTTCGGTTTATCAGGAAAAAAAAGAGAGCAAGGGACTCATTAATGGTTGAATTTTATCACCATCTTTTCTTTTTTTCTATAAAATAATTCAAATTTAGAACGATTATAAATGTTCGTACAATTACCTGCAACATATTTTTCTTCTACCTTGTTGTAGGTAGGCATATCTTGTACGTTGAGTGCGATTTTTTTTTTTTCACTTTATTTAAAAAAATATTGAGCTCAACAATAATTTGATTTCAATTTTAACATGTTGGTCGATTTTCATAAATAATATTTAAATTTAATTTATTGATCAAATCAATTATAGACATGACCTTTGATTTGATTGATAGTGGTGGTCCAATTAAAATTGGAGTCTACGGTCAATTTAATGATAATAATTAATTAAGTTAACAAATTATTACTCTTTAATTTTAATTTTTATTTTGGTCTTCAAAAATTACTCTTTAATAAAATAACATTCTAGGGGTATTCTTGGATGCCTCATTATATAATAAAGACAGCCATGGCAGCTGATTTTTTTTTTTTACTTAAAAACAACGGTCAACTTTTTTACGAAATTTTTCTTAAAAAAATCCATGAACAAAGGCAATTAGTGAATTCTTTTTATTTCGGTTTAAGGTTTAGGATTTATGATTAATTTTAGGTCTTGGACTGCTCTGGCCATATAACCATTCTAATTGTTTAAGCAAGCCATGAAGAGTTTTTCCTAGCACAATTTTTCATTTTTTTTTGTGGTATTACGATCGATATCTAAGATAGTTTACTTGCATTTTGATTAATTTTTTTTTCGGTATAGTTAAAAGCAAGTCACCCATATCGAGATTAAGAAATTCATGAAAAATAAATTTCTGATAAACTAACTCTAAATGAATTGTTAAATTTTAAAATCAAGATGACGGAATTTAGATTGCATCCCTATCTCCACTGATCTAGACCTCGGGGTTCTAGCACAATTTTTCCGCACAATCATTGGTGCATTGTCATCCACGTCTACATTTTCTTTTGTGCTTCCTGAATCGAAGATTTTTAGCAATTATTTTCCATATTTAGCACACAGGCCCTTTCCTTTGAATAAGTAAATATTGGACGTTAATGGTGCACAAAGTCGATTAGGCACAATTAAATAAGTCGAGTATGTGGTGGTAAAATAAAAAAAATTGGATAGTTAGGTATGGGTGACCTAACCACTAAAGGTGGCAACGGTGAATGAAAAATTTTATTAATGAGAGAGTACAATGTAATAAGAGAGACAGAGCAATAGTACTTTCAAGGTGAAGTGTATGAGATTTACCCCCATGTGTAGAAGATTTATAATATATAGACACATAGCTCTAACTGAAGCGGTTATGTGAAGGTCAAGCTATTAGTTTATAGAGGAAGATAAGTATAATTGGGGATAAACACAATCTTGAAGTAATGATTATCCCGATGAATACTCTCCCACGTACATTAACTATTCATGAACTCTTAGACTTTGAATTTAAATGCAAGTCATAAGCTAAGCATGATCTTCCTTTTGATGATTTTGGTCCAACCCATAAATTGGGTCGGGCCTAGTTAGATATAAGCTCATTACATGTAATAGTAAAACCACCTCACCACTGATACGTGATATCATCATTTAATAATAAACTTACAAATAATTAAAGTGAACCCCACTTAGATAATTATTAAATAATATGACATAATAGTTACTATAATATGTAGAATCACATGCTTATTGATAGGTTTATTATTGAGTTGTGACACCATCTATCAATGGTGAGGTGGTGCCACCATCTGTCAATGATGAAGTGATGCCACCATTACACGCAATATTTTTGCCCTTTCTTGAGCCCACCAGGAACACTAATAACTACAAACCATATTAATAATAACTATAACAATAATTAAGTGGTATTGGTGGTCAAGATAAGAACCAATTAATTTTCTTTTGGTAAGTGCCATGAAAATTTTGTTGTTTAGCCCTTTTTGTTGTTTTCCACTTTTCCTTGAAATGCAACAGGGTTTTGTTTTTGGATTTTGCTAAAAGTTATGATTTAATTAGGTCAAGTTACGACTTGATCGCACTAAAACACGATTCGATAAAAAGTCAAGTTAGGATCCGTTTAAAAAACTTGAGATTGATCTCAACTTATTTGGATAAATCCAAAATTTTTTAGGGTTTTTCAATTCACGAAGTCGTAACTTGTTTCAAATTATTTTTCATGACAGTGCTGCAGATTTGTCCATACAATTATATATATATATATATATTAAAGAGTTGGACGGTTTGGTTGGAGTCCATCCAAGATCTAACGGAGATGAATTTATGAGTCCCACTCTATGAACCCTAACTACTCACAAGTAGTTGAGGACCATTAAAACTTGTCCCCACTTCATTACAATGATTGTATAGACTTAGGTTTGGACAATTGCTAAACAGTTGGTCTACTTAATTTCTAGTTCTATTTACTAGCCGAATTATATGAATTCAGATCTCTTCTCTTTAATTTCATTCAATACAGTGGTAGATTAATAACATGCATAAGATTTTATTTTTAATTTATAGGATGTTTTTTTTTTATTTTGTTGTTGGTGGAGTGTTAACCATGGTTAAAGAGTTTTTTGATATAAAAAAAGATCTTATTTATTGAAATTAAAATCTTACGCATATTACTCATCTAACATTGTATTGAAAGAAATTAACGAAAATGAATAATAGAGAGGATCTAAATCTAAAATATATGTTAATTTAGTGGGACCAAGAAATGAAACCCTTGAGCCCTAGAAATGAACAAGAAGGTTGAGATATTTTTGACTAACTTTTTAAGACTTATTTTGAAATATGGATGATTGTGTGTTAGAGGGTCTGATGAGTTCAAATTCTTTTCTTCTCAAGAGGTGTCTTGTGAAAAATTCAACATCAAGAAATCATCCATTGTCTTTAAGGCAATTTGGATATCAAATGTAAAGAATACGAAATCAAAAGTAATTTTATAGGTCATCTGTACTCTATATCCTTTTTTAACTCGAATTTAAATTTGAATAAAAAATATCTAAAAAATTTTCACCATCCTATATCAAATCTCATACCAAATTAAAAGGGACTTAAATTTTTATTCAAATTAATGCTCTGTTTGGTAGGAATAATGGAAAGTAGGAACGAACGTAGGACTGATACACTTTCTTTCCTTTATATTTGATTGGATGGATGAAAAATAAAAATGACTATTTTTTTTTTGTGTTGGCTAAGGTTAGGGGAGACAATTGAATCGTGTCGTGTCAGGTTCGTGTTGAGTCATTACGGATTTATGTCGAACATTAGTCACACCTAACTCAACTCATTTAACTAATTGTCTCATGTCGAATTACGAGTTGACTTGTTTTTCTTTTTCGTGTCATGTTCGTGTTCGAGTTAATCAAGTTTGTGTCATAAAATTCGCGTTGAATTCGAGTTGTGTCATCATGTTGAGTCAAAAGATTTTATATCTAGTTAAAATGGAAAAAATATTTTTTTAATTAAAAACTTTTATTTTTGTATTATTTTTTATTTTTTTTAATATATATATATATATATTTATTTATTTATAAATTCATATTTTATATTTTTATTTGAAATTAATGTATACATAATATATGTATATACATAAAAAAAAGATATTGACAAATAAGATACTTCTCAACACAAATTATTAACTTTCTATCTAATTTTCTTCCGATTTTGGAGGAATTGACTTTGGTGAGTTTGAAAAGAAAGTTAATTCATCCACTTTTCTATTTTTCCTATTTTTCTTCCTTACTAAATATAATATTTTATTTATCCTTCCAACTTTTCATCATTCTATTTTTCTATCATATCAAACGGAGCATAAGAGAAATTTAAATTTTTACTCAAATCAGCCGTGGTCGGATTTCATTTTCCTTCAAAGATTCATGGGTCATATATTTCACTTTTTTGTATTTATGTTTGTCCATTGTAATTCTTCTATCAAATCAAAATTTTGACTCAAAATCAAGTAAAAATTTTAGTCAAAATTATAAATGATGTTAGTATCGTGTAAAAATTATAACTCAATTAAATCAATTTACAATTCAAAAGAATCGATATCTTACAATTTTAAAATCAACTTGATTTCTTTAACGCTATTGAATCACGATCTATACTATTATATAAAATTTGGTCAACATAACATTACTGTATATAAAATAATCAAATTCTATGGTAGATGACTTGGAAAATCTTTACTCCCGAACTACTATTTTAATGGTCACTATCTTTGGTAATTACTTTACATTAATTTAAAAAAAAATTAATTTAGCACGTTCATGAATAATTTTTTAATAATGGCGACGATAATTTTGTGCATCTCACGGAACGAAGCAACAACTAATTCTAACCATTTTTACATCATAATTTTTTGACAATTTAGGGTACATAATTGAATTCATATCTTTAAAACCTAAACCCTAACATGGTAACAGTAGCAAGATGAGTGCAACATCCAACACTTTTTGTGAGAAATGTTTTTTGTATTTAATTTAGTGATCTTATTTGATGACATGATAGATCATAGTTATTAAATTAATAGTAAATCTCAACTAATAATAAAATTCACTGTTAATTTAATAACAAAAAAAAAATAATAAGATTTCCAAAAGTACTAAATAAATTCCATCGTAACATTGCCTTTTTTTTTGTTTTCTAGTCATACCTGAACCCATGTGCCTGCATTAAGTGTGTGAATCTAGTAAGTTCCATGCCCAACTGCTCTCTCTCTCTCTCTCTCTCTCTCTCTCTCTCTCTCTCTCTCTCTCTCATATTTAACAAAGCCCTCACAGTGCAAAGGAAAGCAAGCATATAACCAGATCAGCCCAAAAGTTTGAGAAGCTACAGACTTGTAGCAGCATTGTTTGGCTATAAAATTGGCATAGCTGCAAGGCAGTTGTTGGTACCTCACAATCCCTGCATGTCTTGAATATTTATTCGAATCGATCGCCGAAACAGTAAGAAAGAAATCTTTGTACTGCGTGCCAACTTTAATGCCTACGAGATCGTTGGCTCTCTGGTTTATATAGGTAATAGCAGCAACTTTGTTTTCTTCTTTGTAGCATGAAAGATAAGTATCATAACACGATGGGTTTCGGGTGGTGGCGATTGGTTGGTGCTGCTCTTGCTGGAATTCTGTTCTTTCATGGCCTTTGTCTCTCCGAAAAAGGTATTTAATATAATCTTTCCTGGTTTTTGCAGTTTTCTTATGAAACCTAACTGAATATGTTTTTAAAACTAAGAACATGAAAATTCAGAATGACCCAGCTGGTTTATAGTATTAGGAAAAGATGATTAGGTCGATATTTCAAAACATTTACAGAAGAAATAGAAGAATGATGTTATTGAGAACTAAAAAATGACTAATTTAATGTAGCAATATATAGGTCTAAATCTAAAACTAATAAAGCCATATCACTTGACTTCATTAGCAAAATGAGGAAGGTTTTTAGATCTAATAACTATTATAAGAATTCGAATGAAAGGGATTTAAGGCTTGTCTTTTTCCTCAAAAAAAAGAAAAAAGAATAAGAGAAACAACCACCACACTGACCCAAAAGGAAAAACTCATAATTACCTCTTTTATTTAGGTTGGAATTATCATACGCGCTGATGGTCTGGTGTTCAATAATATTCGTTTAGGATTGTCTTTAATTTTCACATAGTTATCAATCAAAATTCGATTCACTAAAATAATGCAGTTTGCTCCTTGACTTTGGTAGTGTTGTGATGATAGACTGTGAGTTAGTAGTTATAGCTAAAAACCGGATATTCCACAATGAAAAGACCCTCTTAATCGCACGCATGAGGATTACTACCTACTAATCACCTCTTCTCACTGTACTAACCAAAAAAAAAAAAAAGGTTGGAATTGCAATCACGTACTAGAGTTCTATGGGATAGTTCTCCCTAGTTCTCCTATTTCTTCTTGATATTTTTGCTTGTATCTGTGTGTGTCTCTGTGTCCTAGGCTGCAGTAGCATGAAATCAGAAAAAAAAAAAATGAAGTTTTAGGGTAAACCCTGTCTTTAAGAAGGATTAGTTGCAAATTAGGTAATGACACCAGGAATTGCCTTTTATGTAACTGTCTAAGCAATTCTACTGTATATCTTCTTGTCTTTTAAAACGTTGTATAATTTATGATGAAAACTCTGGGGATCAACTAGAAAAAAGGATCATTGAAAGATGTCGTTATCAGACAGTAATATATGAAATGATTTTCTATGAATTCAATGTATTAACAAGCAACCATTTGTCACCCTTTTTTGTTTATTTTTCTTAGTGATAGACCACTTGGTGCGACACACTATACTGAATGTCTCACCGACTAATAATTATGTACTGGGGGGACAACTCTAGAAATGTGAATTTAATGTCATCCAGCAACCTCCTTTCAAAGGGCAATGTTTTTATTTTTGAGCAATCTCGAGACTTAAAAATTTGATTTAATTTATTAACTTAATACATTGTAATCTTTAGATTGACGGTTGGCTCCATCAAATATTGGAATTTAATGTTGATCCAATAATTTTTCTTAAGCCACATTATTATGTCAGCAAATTATGTTAGATTTTTAAGTTTAAATAACATTACTCTTTATTTTTTTGGTCACACAAAGAGTAATGCTAGGAATCCCAAAAGAACAACAGGGATTCTTAGATCAATGTTTATATTATCTTTTTTTCAACAATAATGTTAGGCTGACCAAATTTTAGAATTAAATTTGAAGCTCAAATGACATGACAACATATTATTTGGAGTCTTTATTAGGGTCCAAATGACATGACACAAAATAAAAAAGTCCAAGTTAGCTGTCATGTCATTTAGACTCTAAAATTTGGTCCTAAATTTTGGTTAACTCCTTTAAAAGTTTTGTTTGACTAAGACTATTGTAATATAAAATGTGACCTAAAACACAAATTTAATGAAGGGACAGTTGATATGCTCTAATAATATTGGTATAATTGAATTTGTTGAATATTTTTAATAAGATTATATGACCTTTAACATCATTAGGATAATGTATTAGGTTAAATTTTTAGGTTACAAATATTATTTTTCAGTTTGTTTTAACATATTAAAGTCATGGAAAATTAAATATTGGTATCGAAGGACAATAATTAAACCTAATTTATTTACTTAATATGTTATAATTGATTATAGATCTAGATGCAGTTCTATATTAATGAGTAATGTTAGATGGACTTAAAAAATAGATTTAAAAATTTAACTTGATAATCTCAACTATTGAAGAGGTAGTGAACCCCAATAAATGCTAAGTAAAATCAATAGTTAAAATTATTAAATCTAATTTTTAAATTTATTTTTTAAGTGCATGTACCATTGTTTTATATTAATTGTTAACTGTTACCTGAACTAATCTCTCTGATCACTCTCTCTCTCTCTCTCCTCTCCACAGCTCCAAATTACAGTTTCACGCATGAAGCAACCTCGGCTCCAGAAGTCTCCTACTACGACTACATCATCGTCGGAGGCGGCACCGCCGGCTGCCCCTTGGCAGCCACTCTCTCCCAAAACTACACCGTCTTACTCCTAGAACGAGGCGGTTCGCCCTACGGCAACCCTAACATCACCGACTTAGCAGCTTTCGGAGCAGCACTCTCCGACCTCTCTCCCAAATCCCCTTCTCAACGCTTCATCTCCGAAGACGGAGTCATCAACGCACGCGCGCGTGTACTCGGCGGGGGAAGCTGCATAAACGCCGGCTTCTACTCGCGGGCTGCCACCGACTATGTGAGCAAAGCCGGGTGGGACGGCCAGCTGGTGAACGAGTCGTACCGGTGGGTAGAAAACAAGGTGGCGTTCTTGCCGCCAGTTCGACAGTGGCAATCGGCGGTGAGGGATGGGTTGCTGGAAGCTGGGGTGGTGCCGAACAATGGGTTCACTTATGATCATATTAATGGGACTAAGGTTGGTGGTACCATTTTTGATCGGGATGGGCATCGACATACGGCTGCTGACTTGCTTGAGTATGCAAACCCTAGTGGGATTACAGTTCTTCTTCATGCTTCTGTTCATAAGATCTTGTTCAGAATCAAAGGTACGTTGAGTTGAGACAGTGTCTATGGTTGCCCTAATTTGCATGAGTGCATAACTACCTTTGATTGACATAATTTCATGTCTTAATTTTAACATTAAAACTTGCTAATATTTTGACGGTTAAAAGGAATTATGTCGACAAATTTAGTTCAAGTATCATTACTCAATGTATTTAAATATATTTGTATTTTTTTGGTTCAATGGTGTAGAGTGTCCGGTTAGCTTGCGTGTAACTTGACTAATTTATTTTTTGATTTAATCAAAAGTAGATCATCTATACCAGATTTAAGGTATTCCTTCATGACCTGACATTAAAGAATTACTAAGATTCGAATTCAAAATGTCTGAGTTTACAGTTTATTAATTTTATCATGTGAACTAGCCTTAGGGTTACATACATTTGTATAAAATATGAATATCCCTCATGAATTCCATAATCGTAGTGTGGATGACTGGATTAGAGAGGAGATTAATTCAGGTGTGCATAAATTGATCCGGATACCCCTAACCGTTGAACCAAAAAAAAATAAAAATAAAAATGTGAATATGAACCCAGACAAATTTTTAATGACAATAAAGTGAGGAAATATGGGGACATAATATCATATACACTTCCTCTTATGGGCCAATGGACCACAAGCCCAATACTTGTTGCATGATAAGTTAGATTTTCTCAGTAAACTGTAATTAACCAAGAAAAGTTCTCAAATAGGCAAATCAAGGCCATTAGCCCATGGAGTCACCTTCAGAGATGCATTAGGAATGAAGCACAGAGCATACTTGAAGATCGGATCCAAGAATGAGATCATTGTATCTTCTGGTGCACTTGCAAGCCCACAACTTTTGATGTTGAGTGGTGTTGGCCCATCACAACACCTAAAGGCCCACAATATCACAGTGGTGCTGGACCAGCCCTTGGTTGGTCAAGGCATGTCGGACAACTCCATGAATGCCATCTTTGTTCCTTCTCCGGTTCCAGTCGAGGTCTCTCTCATTCAAGTTGTCGGTATCACTAGCTTCGGAAGCTACATCGAGGCTTCCAGTGGAGAAAACTTCGCCGGAACAGCTCCTCCATCTCCTGGGAGAGACTTTGGAATGTTCTCTCCTAAGGTAATTGTTGTTCAATTTTTATCAGTCTACTTAAACCACAATCGGCATTATTAAGGTTCCAGCTAGACTAAGGGTCCAAAGGCCAGAAATTGATCAGGCCCAAACAGACCAGGATACAAATTGGAGGTTGTTTCCAAGCCTTTTAGTGGCCTGAAGCCTACAAGCGGGTCCTCCACAGCAGCGGCAGTAGTGAACATTGCTACTAAAGAAGGGAGATGGGAGTCTCTACCGCAGTTAGGTTCCCTCGGGACTCTAGTTTTTGGTATATACGTTTCAAGAATATAAAATTCCCGTGAATCGTACTACCGGCCTTTTAGTGGAGCCAACTATGTTTGAATCACGCCCTAAACCTAAATTCACAATTACATAGTAGGAATATGTTGCAAATTAAGTTTTTGGGTGTGATAACAAGTTAACCTAGGTGTGGATTAGATATTGGCCAGTGAAATTCAGGTCCCCAGCCTAAGATTTGATCCGAACTGGTGTTAGATTCTAAAAAATCTAATAAAGATTTAATTTAATTATTCGACGAATTTTACTTTCACAATCCATATATGGAACGTTTGAAAATCATAAATTCAATGTGAATAAGTTAACTAAGGTTAATTTTTTTACTAAATTATCTCTTTTTTTAACTAAATTGTCTCTTAATTGGCCTCAGTTTCTTCAGATAACCAAACACAAAAATTTGTTCACATTTCAGATTGGGCAGCTCTCAACATTACCACCAAAACAAAGAACTCCAGAAGCCATAGCCAAAGCTGTTGAAGCCATGAGTGCCCTTGATGATGCAGCTTTCAGAGGAGGATTCATTTTAGAGAAGATCATGGGACCTCTCTCCACCGGCCATCTACAGCTCCAAAATCGCAATCCCAACGATAATCCATCAGTCACTTTCAATTACTTCAAAGAGCCCGAGGACTTGCAAAGATGTGTGAATGGTATCAAAGTCATTGAGACCATAATCGAATCGAAGTCATTCTCCCAATTTAGATATGACTCTCTCTCTCTGCCAGCCCTTCTCAACATGACTGCGAGTTTTCCGGTGAACTTGTTGCCTAAACACAATAATGCTTCAACGTCATTGGAGCAGTTTTGTAAGGACACAGTGATGACCATATGGCATTACCATGGAGGGTGCCAGGTTGGTAGGGTGGTTGATCATGATTATAAAGTTCTTGGAGTCGATGCTCTTCGGGTTATCGATGGATCGACATTTAATTACTCTCCGGGAACTAATCCTCAAGCCACAGTTATGATGCTTGGAAGGTAAAACATGCAAGTCTTAGCATTTTCATTGAAGTTATTTGGATTTATTTATGTATAGATTGATCATCAAGAGGTGCTTTATTGTTTGCTGTGATGCAGGTACATGGGGGTTAGAATACTGAGTGAAAGACTTGCAAATGATAAACCAAAGTGATGAACACCTGTTATATAATTTGTTTAGGGGGATAAAGGCAGATATCAACATGTATGAGTCAGTAATAGTTTTGAGTTTGGTTGTTTATAATAATAAAACCTAAGTATGTTGTTCAAGATTTTTATTATAGGCTTTGATTCACAATCTTGTTTGTTCAACGTGTTTTTTTTTTTCTTGAATTATTATGGTTGCTGGACTAGTTCATACCAAATATCAGTCTCAATCCTTGCTGTAAATTATACGTTTGCTTGGGACTTAGATGATGAGTAGCACGTGTCTTCGAGATGCTTTATTTAGGATTGCAACATATACAAGTTAAGTTGTACCATTAATTCAGTGTGAAATAAAAAACAAGAAAGTCATTCTAGAATTGTGAATGTAGACCAGTTGTCAAACTATAAAAATTCTTATGTTCTTGTATTATTTTATTTCATATATTGTTTTATTGCACACACGAATCACAATAAAGATTTCATTTGCCCAGACACATGGAAGATAAAAGTAATTGCAGATAAGTTTTACTGTCTTTGGGAGTTACTCTGATTGGACTAAATTTGCATTGTCAGTCAAAGGTTTTTAGGATTTTCAAACACCTTTGAGGCCAAAACATAAAGAAAATTAAAATGAGAAGAATATGACAAAGGATATACCATAAGATCCAAGTTTTGCTGCCACCTCCATAACCAAAAGTAGGGATCTCCGATTTAAGATCGCTCAAATGATAATAACAATAAATTATAAACTTAGATATCTTGAATTTGAATTTTGACAATCTCTTAAAGTCAGGTCATGAGAGATTATTCCTCATAAATAATCTAATTTCGGCATAGATAATCTGTTTTTACTCAGACTAGAAGATAAGTTGAGAGGCGCGCATAAATTGATCCGGATATTTCTTGACTGTTGAAAAAAAACAAAAGAAAAAGTAGGCATCTCTTCTGTATTGCTTTATATCTTCCTCCATCGACCTCCACAATCACAGAGACCGAGAGAGAGAGAGAGAGAGAGAGAGAGAGGTCGAAGTCAAGCTAACTAGAATCTGAAAGAAATATGGAAGAAGCTTTTTAGTGGAAAAGAGGCTTGCAAGGAATTTATCAAAAGCAGGCATTGAAGGATATCCATGGCATAATCTCATGGATATGCCATCTCTTCAGTGGCTTATCCCACTTGTCCTATATATAAAGCTCTTGACAGATCCACTGGAACAACACAACTCGATCTGGGACATGACAAAGGTTTCACTAAGCAAAACAGTTGTAGGGCTTCTCTCCCTTGGCAGCTGAGCGGTGGATCATGTTTTCTCTGAACTTAAAATTCCAGTTACCTGCCAAAGGAGAGTTGCCCTGCGACTGATTAGGCTTAATATATATGAGAAAGAGCCTCAGATTGCATTTCATGCAGAAGAAACTATCAGAAACCCTAACTGCATGTAAGTTGTATTCTCTTTTGTACCTTTTACATGAATCTTTGTTTCCCATTATCTTTCGTCCATGGTTATATCTTTGGTTCTAACCCTTACTTAGCATACTGACTTTCCGATTCATGCTCTCGAGTCATTAGGATCCAACAAATTTCTAAGTTCTACGGTGACGAACTCAATGGAGTCGGTCATAGCGATCTTGTTAATGTGAAAAAATATGTTAGAAGTGCTCAATTGAATGGAATTTTTGAATTAGGTCATACTACTTTGAAATTCAATGTCTCCAACATGGATCCGGTGAAATTGATGCAGAGTACCAACCAATCCTTAACTATAGATTTACAGTGACAGCAAGTGAATGATAGGTGAAAGATTGTGACACACAACAGCCAATCTTGAAAGACCACTCTTTGTCTAAAGATGCCTAAACTATCGTACCGATCATTTGGGGTACCATCATGGTGTAGCAACAAAAGGGAAGAAATTGAAAGTACGAGTACGACAGGGCACTAGCAAAATCTTCTAATTGCTGATAGTCTCGTCAATGAACCAAAGCGCCTAAATATACTGTTACATAAAAAAGCTTCGAGTCATAAGTTTGCATTTGAACCTAACTTCCCAGAGAGTTAGATGTAGGTATAAGGAAAGCCTTGTGTTGTGAACATGTAGTATGGTGAACAATTAACAAAAAATAAAAAATAAAAAAATAAATAATCAAGTACAATAACACAAGATGAATATGAGTCACCTCCTATTTTCAACAGTTAGCTAATGTCATAGGCATATATGCAACTATCACTGCATCAATTAGGTCAAAGCCGAGACTTCAATCTCATGAGATAATTAGATTTTGCACTTATTTTTTTCTGAAAATCAATAAACTCACTTACAGACACAAACAAGTTCATGAAGCATAACTGGACTCTATTCCTACTTGAGGAAAAAAATGTTCCCACCATGAAAATGATGTTAAACAACCATTTCTTCAAAAGTCCAAGTTGTTAGAGATGGTGTAAACTTAAATATTTATATTTCAACACGTTCTTTCACATACATGTTAGATTTTGAGTTTAACATATGAAAATCTTTTTAATACTTAGAGTAATAGCGAGACTCAAATACAGAATCGCCTACTCTAATACTATGTTAGACAATCGTCAACTTTATAAACTTAAATCTGTTGAAAAAACTGTAACTTAAATATTTCTAATTCGACAAAAAAAACCCACTACGTAAAGGTGGAAATGGGCGGAGCCGAGCTTTTTGGAAAACAAGGACAACACATTCAACACACAATGGAGGAAATGGTGAATGAGGGAAATACACTTGAAATTTTGATTCCACTTGAGAAAAATGAAAAGAGTAAATAGAGATTTATAGAACAAAGTACCCATGAGACTTCTTCTATAGGTTGAAACCTCTCAAATTGAGATCCATTCTAATATATATATATATATATATTTTTTTTTTTTAATTTCATTATTGACGAATCACCTATAATCTAGTTAAATGGGACTACATTATATATAAGTGGACCTTTTTGGTCATTAATGATGGATGATCGACTGAGAAGAAAACTAAAAAGAAAAATATTCGTAAGGATCTGGATTCAAAAGACCCAGGCAATTAGAACTGGAAAAAAATTGGAAGAAATAGGCAATACTGTGGTTAAACCCTGTTAGGGAGGGTTCAGCGCAAGAGGTAGTACATGAGCAGGCCCAGCCTGCAGAGTGTACTGCAGATTTATTTTGCTAAGCCAAGATCAGCCCATGTTTAAGAAGATTCGGTATATTTTGACCAATGCATGTTTAGAAATATTTGGAAAAAAATTTTCAAACTTTTTTATTCCTTTACTTCTGTGTTCGAAAAGTGTCCAAAATATTTTCAAAACGATTGTATTTTCTAGGAAACTAAAACGATGATTAGGTGGGATTCAATAGGATTGGGGTTTTTTGATCATTTTCAGTTCAACTTAATCCAATACTATCAATTGCATTACCTTGGAATTAAGGTATATTTTTAATTAATCCTATGTTTAGCAAATGCATTTTTGTTTCTGTGGGTTCCACAAAAGTTTTTTTTAATTGAATTTTACCATCATATGTCTTAGGCAGTCTGGCCTTTTGAAAAAATAAGTGATACAATAGTTTTTTCCAGAAGAAATTTCATTGATTGTAAATTTAACTTACCCCTTAAATTGGTTCGAGAAAACTAATCGATAATAGATAAATGAAACTATTCAAATTAAGGTGTTTGATTTCTCCAAATGGAATATTTCAGCACCGGTTTTGCTTTCCAAACATGGGATAAATGGGATTTATCCCAATTATGTTCAATCTAATATATTTCAACCTTTATATCCCGCTATCCAAACACCCCCATAAAACTATAGGTCATGGATCATGGTCGGGACAAAATAATTGATTAGTTTGAGAATTTGTGTTCAAGTTTTTTGTTAGTGGTCAACACTCATCATTCATCCCCCCCCCCCCCCCCCTCCTTTTTTTCTATTGCTTTGTATCTGTGAGTCAAGTCTGGTGGACTCTTATGAAAATCATAATCTTTGATGGCATCAACCCATAAAAATGAAAAATAAAATTTGCGACCGCACCTGTCAATCTTACATATATTAAGTTGGGATAATTTATGTCTGAAAGAATGGTACAATACGAAAGGTTTTGAGATGTATGTTGATAGCCGTTGGATGAGTCTTAAATATACTGTCGAATTAATTATAAATTTTGATCAAGTTTAATATATTTACATCTTTTTATCTTATTTAAGGAAGTAGAATTCAAAAAAAAAAATCCCTTAAGGCCCATTATAATATAAGAGTAAATATTTGGACTTGAGAGAAATTGACACAATTTTAAAAGAACATGATTTGAATCCCATCTACCAGCGCACCCCAACAAATAAAAATAAAAAATCCTACCTACCACCTCGCTGAAGGAAAGGTCATAGTTGTCTCCTATAAGCTTGGTCCAACTGTGCAACTATAATGCATAGCGTCACCATTATCATTAGAAGGTGATTGGTACCCTTTCCTCCAAAAGGCTTGGATGGTTTTCGAAATCGTCCGATAAACCCTCAAATTTAAGAACTATTAAATTTTAACCTAGTTTCCAATCATAAAACATGAGCCCTCTCTGCTGCATATTATCAAGCTTTTTGGATGCTCAAATAACCACAGGAATTCATAAGACTCATAAAACAACCTCATTTGATTTCTCATTTCACTAGGGTGTTTTCCGTTGCACACTTTTTTTTTTTTACTATATGTTTTATTATATAGACATGAAAGAATTAAAAAAACAAACCCGAACAATTTCTATTTGTTTTTATAAAATGAAGTGTTGGAGTTGTGGTGGGTGATTCATGTGATGCACTTTTAGGACGTTCATTTATGAAATTAGCCGCCTTTGTGTTGTTTTAATTCACACGCCTTCACTGTCAGTTGTGTCCCAAATTTCCAACTAAAAGGGAGAACTTGACGTGTATTGTCGTTAATAAATCTATAGATTCTTAAGCATAATGGGCAGCATTGCTAATATATGTTACATATTGCACTTGCATGATGTTAACATGGACATGCCCTATGCCCGTCTTGGTATTTACTTCAGTATATGCATTAGTTCTACGTGTTTTGACCTTATTTGGGTTTTCTATGTCAAGGATGCCTCCTTTAGGTCATAGATTTTTAATTGACACCATGATGGTACTGATTTCTGCTGCAGGATTATGTTCCAGAAGACATTGAAAGCATATTTGGTTCGAACCTCCTCAGTCCCCAGATTCAAGTTATCAGAACTTGCAACTTGGTGCTGAAGACTATGCAAAGGAGCCGCCATTAGTTCCTCCACATCTACAAATGACTTTGCTCAATGTTCCATCATCCCACATGGAGATTCCACCTCCTTTTTCAAGACCTCAGCATGTTGTGGTTAACCATCTTTACATGCAGAAAAGGAGGAGCTGCCCATCAGTGGTGGCACTTGGTTCAACTCATCGGTTTCTAGCCAAAAATGTAACTGTGGTACTCCACAAGTCCAAACAGAGGTGAAAATACATGTTTTTCTGGACACTAGTCTTTAATCTGGTCATGTAATTGATATATTTAGAAAGAGGTAAATGTCAGGCCAATGGATCAAGAGAATTCCAGATAGAGCCATTATGTTTGACTCAATTTATTTGGTATAATGTAAATGCTCGGAATCATCATTTCTCCAACAATTATCTGGGTATTCTGTCTTCTGTGTTTTCTGTTGTTCGTCCGCTGTAATATCCTCACTAGAAGAAACCATTTTGACATTGGAACGCCGGATTGCTTGTCATTGTTGTTTTGCAGTTGGAAAGGAGACAACAAGAAGAAACTCTAATGGTACTTATTGGATAATATGATCCAAACACATCGGCACACCCTTTTTTTTTGGTGTGTGAACTTGAGGTTGGATCATCCCTTTTCAGTTACCTGGGCTCAGATTTGGAAGCCTTAATCTCTTCCTAAAAAAAAACTGAAAGGAAGTACAAGGATTTCATGGGTGTCTGTGAAATAATGGTGAATATCCTTGCAACTGCCTTCGTGCCCAACCAAAAAAAGTTACTTCTTTTGTAATGAGTTTTTGGGTGATGCCATGTCCGATTCCTAGAATGTTCTTCCGTGTAAGTGTAAAGATGTTTTAGTTTCAGATTGATACAGGTTTAGATTAATTATATTTTTCGGCACTTCTATGAGTTTTCCGGCATCAGGAGAGAATTGTTTACGTTCAAATTAGAAGCAAACATCCTGTGCAAGGTCCTTTTACCCCCACATTCAGTTTCTTTCCCATAGTTGATGTCTCTTCCCATGGAGGAGATAAAATATCGCTTATGACTCATTCACGTGATTACTATGGTGCTTGGACCATTTTTTTTGTTGGTCTATGTGTTAGGGACAACTTATGTATAGTAAATGGTTCTATTCTAGCAACAGAATACAGTACCAACAGCCATAAATTGCATATGGACCAGCAAAATTACTGTGAATGAGTAAACCAGCATTTAAAATTACAAGTCGGTCGTTGGAGACTTTTGACTAAGAAAACGTCAATGTAAAAGGTTAAAGGGTAGAAAACGTCAATGTAAAAGGCTTAGGGATAGAAAACGTCAATGTAACGGCTAAGGGATAGAAATCATGATTAAACAAAAAAGGGAATAAAACGACATTTACAGTGACGTTTTTAACCCTTTTATTTTTTTAAACGTCTGGTAAGCTCTGTTAAAAAATTCATATTCAGATCGTCATTCCAAATGACGTTTTTAGGGGAGAATGCGTCATTTTAAATAATATTTTTAAAAAAAGGCTGGATTTGAGAATTAAGTTTAAAAGTGACTAGATTATGAAATTAAGTTACGAGGGAGCCGGGTTTGGGGAAAAGCTCATCATATGTCTTAAGCAGTCTGGCCTTTTGAAAAATAAGTGATACAATAGTTTTTTCCAAAAGAAATGACTTTAAATTTAACTTACCCCATAAATTGGTTCGAAAAAACTAATCAATAATAGATAAATGAAACTATTCAAATTAAGGTGTTGGATTTCTCCAAATGGAATATTTCAGCACCAGTTTTGCTTTCCAAACATGGGATTTATCCCAATTATATTCAATCTAATATATTTCAACCTTTATATCCCGCTATCCCAACACCACCATAAAACTATAGGTCATAGATCATGGTCGGGAGTTTGAGAATTTGTGTTCAAGTTTTTTGTTAGTGGTCAACACTCGCCCCCCCCCCCCCCCCCCCACCTTTTTTTTATTGCTTTGTATCTGGGAGTCAAGTCTGGTGGACTCTTATAAAAATCATAATCTTTGGTGGCACCAACCCAAAAAAATGAAAAAGAAAATTTGTGACCGCACCTATCAATTTGTATATATTAACTAAGGATAATCTGTGTCTAAAAGAATGGTACAATACGAATGATTTTGAGATGGATGTTGATGGCTATTTGATGAGTTTTAAATAGACCGTCAAATTAATTTATTGAAATATGTCATATTTTATATTATAAATTTTGATCAAGTTTAATATATTTACATTTTTTTATCTTATTTATGGAAGTAGAATTCAAAAAAAAAAATCCCTCAAGGCCCATTATGATATAAGAGTAAATATTTGGACTTGAGAGAAATTGACACAATTTTAAAAGAACATGATTTGAATCCCATCTACCAGCACACCCCAACAAAATAAAAAATAAAAAATCCTACCCACCACCTTGCTGAAGGAAAGGTCATAGTTGTCTTGGTCCAACTGGGCAACTGTAATGCATAGCGTCACCATTTTCATTAGATGGTACCATTTCCTCCAAAAGGCTTGGATGGTTTTTGAAATCGTCCGATCAACCCTCAAATTTAAGAACTATTAAACTTTAACCTAGTTTCCAATCATAAAACATGAGCCCTCTCTGCTGCATATTATCGAACTTTTTGGATGTTCAAATAACTACAGGAATTCATAAGAGTCGTAAAGTAAAGTAAGCACATTCGATTTCTCATTTCACTAGGGTGTTTCCCGTCGCATACGTCTTTTTTGACTATGTGTTTTATTATAGAGCAATGCTATTAAGAATTAATTTGTTAACCTAATTTATTGATGATCTTTGGATTGATTGTAGGGTCCATCAAATATTGGAATTTAGTGTTGATTTAATGGTTCTGCTGAAGCCACATCATTATGTCAGTAAATTAAGTTAAATTTTTAGGTTCAAATAGTGTTACTCTTTATTATATAGACACGAGAGAATAAAAAAAAAACCCGAATAATTTTTATTTGTTTTTATTTAATAAAGTGTTGGAGTTGTGGTGGGTGATTCACGTGGTGCTCTTTTAGGACGTTCATGGATGGTATTGGCTGCCCTTGTGTTGTTTTAATTCACAGGCCTTCACTGTCAGTTGTGTCCCAAATTTCCGTCCTCATCCGAGACTATGAACTATCAATTATGCTACCAGTTTTGTCAAGACAAAAATAAGATAGGGAAAGCCTGAAAGAATGGTTGGTACCGGTACAGTTATAAAATCAGGAAGAAATCTGCAAACGCCCCCTTGAATTTTGATATATTATTATATTATATAGTGACTTCAGAATATTTCTTGAATAAATATACTGACGTGACTGCCCCTGAATTTTTGTGAGGTTATATAATATTAGTAAAAAATATTTATTAAATTTTTTATATTTCCAATAAAAGATAAAATAATTTGTAAATTTAGTCTCTACAGTTCTTTAGTTTGAAAGGGTTATAGTGTGATTTTGTCAAATTTAAGATGTGTATCTTAATTTTATCATAAAATCTCATGAATATTTATGGCTCGCATTCACGGTATTGAAAAATAAAAATTTTGCATTGTATCGAAAATAATATCATATCAAGACAGTACATTAGAAAAATCATAACTTTAGAGAATATTAGAGAACTTGCAGCTCATGTGGGTCTGGCGTAGACATTCTTCGTGTGAATCTTGAAGGGTAGCTGAGAAAAGCTGAAAAAATACCTACCTTTTGAGGCCAATAAATAATTTTTTCTTGTTCAACGCCGCATGTAGTTGGCTTGTCACAGGGGTGATAATCATGTTGTTGTGTTAAGTCGTATTGATGTCGTGATATTTTAAATCAAATCTATTTTATTTTAATTTATTTAATTAATTATGTTGTGTTTATTTATTTATTTTCGTGTCATATTCGTGTTGATTCATATAACTTGTGAATAAAAAATTTAAAACTTAGTTTTATGTCTAAAATTGCATTATCACTTAATTAAACATATGCTCATACATTTTTTATAAACTAAAAATTAATTTAATAAATGTAATAATAAAAATGATTAAATATAATAAAAAGTTGACATTTTATTCTTATAATACTACTTAAACGTGTTAATTGTGTCAATTTCGTATTGTTCGTGATTAACATTAACTCAACTCATTTATTATTCGTGTTAACAGGTTGTGTCATATACGAATTCATGTCAAAAAATGATCAACACTAACCCTCTAATTTCGAGTAGATTTTGAGTCGAGTTTTTCGTGCTATGTCAAAAATTGTCGCTCCAACATATACCATATAAATCATGTATAGTCATGAATGAATAATTTAATGTGGTGTATAATTGAGTTTTGGTTGATCAATCTTATTATAAAATGGTTCGAGTCAATCGCGTTATGACCCAAAATTATTTAGACTTAAATGTATACTCACTCACTCACGTTAATTTTGCGTAACGTTAATAAATCGTACTTAAAACTATCAACAAGAGTACATTTACGTATTTACCACTTCATTTTCTTCAACAAGGCAACATTTTTTAACAAAAATTACGCAATTATTTTTCTTTGTACAAAGTCAAATCACACCTACAACCAAATCTCCATTATTTTTCTTACAAGCACACTATGTACACACTTTATTTAAAGTCAAGCCACCCCCAAACACCAAAAATTGTAATCTCAGCTGTCAAATGTGTGATGCAATTACACCATAGGCCATGGGTTTTTTTTGCCAATGGGTCCAGCTCAAGACAATTTGAGGTTTAAAGTGAGAATTTTAAATAATTTTTTTTATTTTTCAATTAATAATTATTCATCTTGCTTATTTTGTTAACATATTCTTTTTAATCAATAGTCTGATTAAACCTCTTTCAAGTACTATTAGGTCAAGTGCAACTATTAATTGACATTTTGCTCTAATTCTGCTTTATGGTCTAGCCAGCTATGAGAATAGGTTGGGTGGTGCCAAACAACAAAAAAATCAAAAAGAAGAATAATAGAACTAACGAAAAACACTTTGGGTTATGCAGATTCTCAAATTTTAGTGTTCATATTTTTTGCTATTTTCTCAAACTTTAGCTTAAAGTAGGTTGGAGTGAGTTTATTCAATTGTCAATCCTATATAAAATCATTTATTACAAGATAAAATATTCAATGTAACGGTAATACCATGTTAGTAATGACGGTGATATCATAATTTTGAAATGGTATCAACAATCAATAATAATGTGCGTGCAAGATCTTGCACAATATAAACACGAGAACAAATCTCTCCCGTGGTGAATTCGAGTCAGTCAATCGAATGGTCAACCTTGCTGCTCAGAACAGACTGTGAGGTCCAGTGGTGGCCTGGAACGATAATGGGTGACTTTCGTGGATCAACGGAGCGGTCCAGTAAGGCTGAGGGAGCTTCCTGGAACAGAAAAAAATGAGTTAGGAGGGCGTCGGAGTGTTTTTCGACGTATCCCCTCAGACGATCAAGTCAGTTCTTTGAGAGAGGGGGAAGGAGAAAACATTGTATTTCTTTGAGAAAAAGGTTTTTTGTTGCATACCGTCTTGTCTTTTGTGAGGAGTAT